GGTATTATGGCAGAACAGTTGCATCACTGCTTAGGATGCTTGCATCACATATAAGAATTCCTGGGGTTTAACCCTGCCTCTGTCTCCTGACCACTTCTTGCTAATGCTCACTCAGGGAGGCAGACAATGATGGTTCAGCATTTTAGGTCTGTGCCCACCATATGGGAGACCCAAATGGAATTCTGCACTCTGGGTTGTTGTGGGTATTTTAGGAAGTGAATCAGCAGATAGAAGATCTCTCTATCTGTATCTGTATCTGTATCTGTATCTGTATCTGTATCTGTATCAGTATCTATCTCCAACTCTATCTCTATCTTTATTTTTAGCTCTTATCATTCTTAACTGTATTTATCATTCTGCCTTTCAAATAAATAAACTTTTAAAAAAAGGTCACATACCTTAAGAAACATTGCCTGATCCTTAAAACAGAGTTAAGTAGGGGGCCAGTGCTCTGGCATGGTAGGTTAAGCCTCTGATGGTGGCTCTGGCATTTTATATGAGCGTCAGTTCAAGTCCTGGTTTCCCCACTTCTGATCGAGCTCCCTCCTAAAGGCCTGTGAAAGCAGCGGCGGATGGCCCAAGTTCTTAGGCTCTGGCACCCACGTGGGAAACCTGGAAGAAAACCCTGGCTCCTGGCTTCGGATTGGCCCAGCTCCAGCTGGTGCCGCCATTTGGGGAGTGAACCAGAGGATGGAAGACCTCCATCTCTGTCTCTCCCTCTCTCTGTCTTAACTCTGCTTCTCATATAAATAAATAAGTCTTAAAAAAAAAAGTTAAGTGTCCCTACTCCTTTCCTGCTGTACTATCTTGAACTCTATTATAAAACTCTGCATGTGTATAATTGGCCTTAAGTATTTTGTGGAAAATTCTGTTCATTATTTATTGTGATTAATGTACCTAGTTTAGTCATTGGCCTGATGTAATAGCTCTGTAAATATTAGCTAAATTACTGCCAATCAGCTGCAGAGCTCTTAAATCAATCAACTTTCCATTTTTGCATTTATTCTCTCTTCAATTCCAGTGTCACATTATAGATATTTGAATGTCATCTTCACAAATAACATATAGATTTAAAAGGCAGAACAATGAAAAACTGTTGCATGCAAATCCTCTTTTGTTTGTGAATAACAATAACAGAGAGAATTCTGACAGTATGATTGAACAGAAATGTGCTTACCAGTGTTATGGTCTAAACACATGTGTCTTCCTAAATTCTTATGCTGAAATTGAAGACCTAGGGGTGATATTACTAAGAGATCAGTAAGTTTTCATAAATGGAATTAGTACCATGGGATTAGCAGAATGCATTTTTTACCCTTATGAAAGTGCTCAAGGGAAATTGAGGGAGGTGTTGACACCCCCCCCCCCCATGTATACTACAATATGAGCACACAGCACTTGTCCTGTTACCCTTCCACTTCTGACATCAGGATGTACCACAAAGCCCCAGCTTGGAAGCATAAACCAGGCCCTCACCAAACTCCAAACCTGCTGGCCCCTTCAGCCTAGATTTCCAGCCTCCACAACTGTGAGCAAAAAAATATTATGCTGTTAAAGATGACTCATTATGTGATATTTGGATGCAGCTGAACAAATGAAGCCAAGATGGACATTGTTATTAAGAACTATGTGTGTCTGTAACAAATGCCCAGAAATACTGGAGCAGCTTTGGAAATGGAATATAGAAGCTGGATTATAAGCAATATCGCTTGGTTAGGGTGAGGGCTCAGAAAGGAAGAGAGCAGTCAGAAAAGTCTGTATCTTAGAGATCATTTAAGTGGTCATGATCAGAATGTTGACATAAATACAAAAGCTGGAGGCAATTCTGTGAATTCTCATATGGAAATGAGAAGCTAGGTATTGGAAACTAGAGGAAAGGCCATCTGCTATTATTTGAATGTGGTTTGAGTGTGTTCCCCAAGCATTCATGTGTTGGGAGCTTCATTCCCAGTGTGGCAATGTTGAGGGGTGGTGAAACTTTTAAGAGATAGGCCTAGTAGAGATAGGCCTAGTAGAAATCCTTAGGTCACCAGGAGAGATGCCATCAGAAGGAATACAAAGATTTCTCTTAGGTCCCTTGTTCGTTCTTGTGAGAGCATTGCTATGAATGCACAAAGCTGACCACTACCAGCCTCCTTTGTACCCTGTCTGCCCATGTGTGTTTTTCCCTTTATCTCTTGTTCCTGCCATGTGATGCAATCATCGTGAAGTAACATGGCCAGGAGGGCCCTAGCCACAACCAGCACCATGCTGTCTGGACTTCCAACTTCAAAATTAATAGTTAAATAAATCTCTTTTCTTATAAATCATCCAACCTCAGGTATATCATTACAGTAATAAAAACACATTAATACACCCTTCTTGTTACAAAGTGGTAAGGAATTGGCTGAATTATGTCTATATCCTAATACATCATGGAAGGCAGAACTTAATAGTGTGGAAGTGTTACAGGTGTGGCCTGGTTTCTTCTCACAGCTAGAGAAATCTAGAGAAACAAACTGAGGACGGAATTTAAAAATTAATCTGAGAGGCAGAAAGATGAAGAGGGAGAACTCCCATCCATTGTTTCACTATCCAAATGCCCTTGATGGCCAGGGTTGGGCTGGGAACCAAACTCAGGGGCTAGGAAACCAATTACTTGAGCCATTATTTCTGCCTCCCAGGGCCTGCATTAGCAGGAAGCTGGAGTCAGGACCTGGATCCAGAGCCGGGAAATGAACTCAGGAACTCTGATATGGGAAATGGGCTTAACTACCATCTAACACCTGCCCCTTAAAAACGAATCATGAGAGGCAATGTCAAAACGTTAGAAGCTTCTCAACCTATAAATAAGGAAAAAAACATTGTACTGGAAAGAATCACAAGGTCTGAACAACAGAATGCTGAATAAATAGATTGATGTGGATATGAAGAAGCCTGGGGCTATTCATCAATACACTTTGAAGATCTACCCAGAGTGCCAGGTCCTTGGGACAGAATGTTTTTGAGGGGAGAGGCACTGGGTGCCTGTGGAACTTGGGCTCTCTGTCCAGGACTGCTTCAAACCTCTGTTCCCCAAAATTGGTGCAGCACCCCTTAGCTGCCCCAGCTGTTGCTCAAGTGCATACATTGTAACTTTGGCCACATCCATGTCGTGCTAACTCTGCAGATGTGCAATGTGGTTGTGTAGTTATAACTACTTTTAGCTAGATTTCAAAGGATTTATTGGAGAGTTTTGAGGACCAGGCAAAGAACAGGACAGAGGCAGAGCCGCCAGAAAGAGGTTCCACCAAGGCATTGTCAAATGGAACCATGGATTTGGGGCCACCACAAAGAGCCGATACAAGGTCAAAGTCTATGGAAGCCATGAGACTACAGCTGCCTTCAAAACCTCCAACATATAGAGTCACCAGTGTACAAATTCCCCGGGAAGAGTCACTGGCCCAAGATTCCAAACTCCAAGAGCTACACTGTGTTCTGTGTCCACTGACGTAGGGCACAACATTGAAAAGGCAGGATATGGAGGCAAGGATGATCATTCTCAAGTCTCAAGATATAATTGTGTTTGCCTGTGTTTTGAAATTACTTGGGAGCTACTATCAGTTTCCTCTTTCTTATTTCTCCATTTTACAGTAGAAATGTTTACTCGTGCTTTTCCTGTGATTGCACTTTGGAAGCACATAACTTCTTTGCATAGACCTACACTGGAGGGGAATTGCTTCAGGATGAACCATGCATACAGGATGAATCGTCCATAACTGATTTAGATAATGTTTTGTTGCGATGGCATCTGGACTTTGAAGTTAGTGCTAGAATAAATTAGGATTTTTAGGGCTATATAGAGAAGGACATGAATTTTGGGAGACCAAGGAAAGAATGCTGTAATTTGAATATGTGTGTGTTTCCAAAATTCATATGTTGGAACTTAGATCCAATGTGATAGTACAGAGTGGGCCCTCTAGGAAGTAATTAAGACATGAGGACTTTACCATCATGAACGGGATTACTAGCCTTAAAAAATGACTCAAGGAAGCTAATATACCCATTTTGCACTTCTGTCCCTTCCAACATTTGAGGAACCAACAGTAAGGTGCCATTATTGTAACAGAGACTGGGCTCTCACCAAACACCAAACCTGCCAGCATCTTGATCTTGGACTTCCCAACTATTTAGAATTGTAATAAATAAATTTCTATTTTTATAAATTACCCAATATAACATATTTTGTTATATAAGCAGGAATAGATGGAGATAGGAATTACATAGTACATTAAGATCGCATTTACTCTGCATAGTTTATGGAGCAGGGAGTTTCACTGGGTCAATTTCTAGATGGTTAAAGCCTATTTGTAGTGCTAGATTAAAGTTGAAATGTGTCTTAGCAACTTATTCTCAAAAGTATCTTCTATTTCAGGAAGAAATATAGCAAGGCTTATTCCCTATCACTGCCAGACAAAAGAATCTAAATATAATGACATGAAAAAAGAATAAACAGGCAGAAAGAAATTGTCCTCAGTAGGCAAGCAGACTTATCAAATATCAGTTTCCCAAATGCAGTCAGCTTCCAATTTGAGGAAAATTTAAGCTATCTTTCAGCATGAATAGGTTATTTTCTAGCATACAAACATTAGAAGTAAATTGAGGCTTAACGTGAATGTTTGATGTGAGGACAGACAATTGCTGAGTTCTGTGGACAATAGGCTTTGTTGGCTATAATCCTATGGATGTCTCTGGTCATAAACCCATGGTCTTGTGTTCAGACTCTGTGTTTTTTCAGTTATATTTCATCTGATCTCATGCTCTGAGGGTGGGGGATACTTTTTCTAACAGGGTCTTTTTGACATTTATAACACCATTCACAGACCATACAAAATTATAAAGTTAAAGATTAGTCTGTGGTTGGATGCCTTGGTAGGGCCAGACCAACTGATTTCATGGCCTTACATGGCCTGTGGGCCAGATGTTCCCCACCCCTGTACTGTTAGAATCGACTGCCCGAAAAACGTCACCAAGAGACATCTCTTATGCAAACAGCAAGGGGAAGCTTTATTGATTATCCAGCATGCTGGGGCTGTCTGACCATACATGAACAGAGCAGCCCCGAATAACCAAAGGTTAGGGTTTATAAAGGCAAAAACCGCAAAACCGGGAAGGGGGGAATACATGATTGCTATGCACGGTTGCTATACACAGTTGCTAAAATCAAAAGAGAGTATATGGTTACTGGGGTCAACATAACCTAAAACCTAAGTGAAATTAATATTTATCATAATCTTGACAATACCAGTTACAATATTACAATTAGCAATTAGGACTTGACATTAATGCAAGACACAGACAAATCACATCTTTATTATTAGCCCAGGTAACCCAGGTGCAACCTTTCTACTTTTAAGCTTGAGCAATCATGCTAGGGGGTTTTTGTGCGTTGCCAAGGGTGATGTAGTGCACTGCTATTGTCCGACTATTTGAGATCATAGTTTCAGACCAGAGTCTCACGGTGGGGGGGTGCTTTCCCAGAATGCAGTCTCAAGTGCTCCAAAATGGAGTCCCTACTGCCAAGGTGCTACTCTGTCTTATTTTTTTACAGCTGTACCAGCAAGGTTTAAACCTGTAAGCTTAAGCTTAACTTTTTACACCCGCACATATACAATTTTAACTCTTCAGTACCTAGGCTTTTTTGCTCCCCCTCTCCCAAGGGTTGCCACATTTTGAAGCCATAAGGCTAACAAAGGAAAGTCAATACCACTGTGCCCAGGTGGCTATCCATCCTTCAGTGAGATATAATTCATCTCTCAGTTGGCCATCTTATGTCAAGATTTCCTCTTTCTCCTAAGAGGACTATTCATCTTAGAGTTCATGATGAATTTCACATGTCAATCAAAGTCACAATACTGAAAACCAGCCCCAATTTTCTGCATTGGATTGAACTACTTCCCTGTCTTTTGGAATTTCCTTGATGACTATCAACATGTAATCCTTTTTACTTTTTATCCTGGTCTACTGTGTACTGCATGACCAGAGCTTGAAAGAGACACATAGGCCGGCGCCGCGGCTCACTAGGCTAATCCTCCGCCTAGCGGCGCCGGCACACCGGGTTCTAGTCCCGGTCGGGGCGCCGGATTCTGTCCCGGTTGCCCCTCTTCCAGGCCAGCCCTCTGCTGTGGCCAGGGAGTGCAGTGGAGGATGGCCCAGGTGCTTGGGCCCTGCACCCCATGGGAGACCAGGAAAAGCACCTGACTCCTGGCTCCTGCCATCGGATCAGCGCGGTGCGCCGGCCGCAGCGCGCCGGCCGCGGCGGCCATTGGAGGGTGAACCAACGGCAAAGGAAGACCTTTCTCTCTGTCTCTCTCTCTCACTGTCCACTCTGCCTGTCAAAAAAAAAAAAAAAAAAAAAGAAAGAGACACATAGAGACACAGCTTGAAACAAATAGGGCTGTGTGCAGGAATATTCTCGGGGGATAGGCATCAATGCATGGGGAGGAAGGTCAAGGCAGGTATTGGGCAGGATATGGAGGGAAACTACGCACACTTCTGCCCTTTCCCAGGAATTCATTGTGCTCAAGCATTTTAGATCATATTTTGCTCAAATGATGGCAGTATTGCCCAACTGAGTTCCTTCTAATTTCTCTAAAATTATAGTAGCCCATTTTTTTAAGGGAAAACGTTTATTGTCAGGTGGGGGAAACCTGACAGACTGCCTTTCTGTGCACAAGAGAACAGCAGCTTATACTGGGAGAACAGGTCTTATATAGCTTTGCAGAGGTAAAGAAGTGGGAGGAGCAAATCCCATTAGGGTAGGGGTGGAGCTGACACTTGTGCTTTTGGGACATTTGGTCACCTGACCAAAGCCAGGCTAGGCTTAGAATGAAGCTTATTATACAACATGGCAATGGGACCAGAGCCTAAGATGGTACCACAGTTAAGACCTTACCATTTTACTAATATTCCTCCCTTTTGTTTTCATAAATCTAGTGTTACATGCGATTACATTGGCCCCAAAAGTCCAGGAGGGGTGGAAGGATGATGATCTATCTTCTAGAGCTGCTTCCTGCTAATATGGGGTGACGAGTTACTCTCTGTTGCCGTGGAGTGATATCTAAAGTCATGATGTCCTGGGTGGGAAGCTGATTATATCTCTTTAGTAGCATCTGGCTGACCACTTGGTTGGTGAAGGCTTTGGTTCACTTCATTATCACCTCCTGTAATCACTGCTAGTGAGGTGGTTTGGCTTTGGAGACCTCAGATGGCATCAGCTGGGGTCTCAATGGACCTAGTGACCTCTTGTAACTGTTGGAGTTATTTTTGGAGTCAGTTGGTCGAGATAACGTTGTGGCCCAAAACTGTTCCTGGGATCACTACTGAAGAGAGGGAGGCTGCAAAGCTGATCCCAACCAAAACTGAGAGAAAGGTCGCTCATCTCTTGTGCATAGGGGGGTTTGTAGAGAAATTCTTGACAATCATACAGTGTTAAGTGGGGGGGGGGGGTGGACCACCAATATACATGGGTCAAGAATAGAGCCACTGATGTAAAAGTAGAGGTTATGGTTACAAAGGAATGAGACCCCAAGTGGGCCAGAGTCTAGAACAAAGGACAGAGAGAGTCATTATTAGAGGACCTAAGAAAGGTGCTGTCTAAACCATGAATAAGTTTTCTGATGGAGAGGCAAATAGAAACTGGCAGCAGGGGCTTGATAATGATCAGGTGGGTTTTAAGGCATTGTCAGTCATGAGGCCCAGCCCTATTTATCTCTTTACATGAGGTGCATCATAAGGGAGGTATAAACCTCCTCGAGGAAGGCACTCTGTTGACTTCCATTACCTAGCTGGCCTGGGAGGAGAGCTGGCCAGGTAAAGGCAGGTGGCATCTCTTGCAGGAAATTTACAGTTCTGCCTGCAATGTTGCTGACCCTACTTGGCCATCACCTCAGCAGTGGTGGTTATTTTGGAATCTGGGCAGAGCAAAGTGCTTTTCAGCTTAGAACCAGCAATGTCTGTGGCTCTGACCTGAGTGTCCTTTGACTCCAGGGCAATTCCATTTCCAGTGAACCAACTCTTGGCTGGCAGAGTTTCCAGGACTCTTCATAAGCTGACTTCTGCTGAAGCCCTGGCTTTTCATATAAACCAATGCAGTGGACTAGCCTGTTGGATCTCCTTAATGACAAATCACTGTGTAGAGCAGCCATTAATTGGCCTGACACCTATCTTTAATTTTGCTTGTGCTTCCCAGCCTTCTCTTTCCCCTGGTTTCTGTTAAAGCAGACCAGAGGAAACCCTTTAGAGGATGCAAGTCAAGGGGATACTCAAGTCCCATCTCTAATCTTTGATGAACTAAACTAGAAGTCTATGGTAGGATTTTACAAAATATTTATCCCTTTTAGGCCTCTAGGTCTTTCTCATTATAATAACCATCATGTCTGGTAACACAAGACCATTAGATTTTTAACTTTTGGACATTTGTATCAATAGCATTTTACATTATCATATCTTAAAATATAGCACAACTTCTCATCTTGACAGTACTTGCAATATAATCCAAACAGCCTGATTAGTTGATATCTCTACAAGATGAGAGACATACAGCTTTTGGTATTTCCAGAGTCCCAACTAGAAATATCAAAGACCAAATAATTTGGAACTTTGATTTTTTTTTCTTAGAATGCCAGTCAAGGATGCCAAGAAAGTTTAAAATATCTTGTAGAAATAGGCTCCCTTAACAGCATGACATAATATAGACCAGATTTGATCATTTGTTACAAGATGATTACTCAAATGTTTTAGAATAAGCATATATTTAAGCAAACCATGACTCTTATTAAGAATTCAGCTGTTTTAAACTATCAGAACTTAACAGAAATTAAGAGAACATAATAGATTACTTTAACAAACACAAAAGCTGTGTATCTTTGGTCATTCCAAAATTCAGAAATAAAACCTTAAATTTAAGAGCTAGTGCATAAGCCGGCGCCGTGGCTCAATAGGCTAATCCTCCACCTTGCGGCGCCGGCACACCGGGTTCTAGTCCCGGTCAGGACGCCGGATTCTGTCCCGGTTGCCCCTCTTCCAGGCCAGCTCTCTGCTATGGCCAGGGAGTGCAGTGGAGGATGGCCCAGGTGCTTGGGCCCTGCACCCCATGGGAGACCAGGAAAAGCACCTGGCTCCTGGCTCCTGCCATCGGATCAGCGCGGTGCGCCGGCTGCAGCGGCGGCCATTGGAGGGTGAACCAACGGCAAAGAAAGACCTTTCTCTCTCTGTCTCTCTCTCTCACTGTCCACTCTGCCTCAAAAATTTAAAAAAAAAAAAAAAAAAGAGCTAGTGCATGGAATCATATCCCATAACTTGGGACAGTTTTAACAGAGCCTCACCTAAGATGGCTTGAGCGCCTTACACTTGAAAAGCCCATCCCTTCTCTAACTGGCATAACTGAGGACACCGGGACACCTCCTCTTCATTGGCCATGCTGCCTATTATCCACATAAGCTAGATGAGTACTATGACTCCATCTTATTTTTGGGATCTGGCATCTGGTAGATTACATAGGTGTTGGAAAGTCCACACTTGCTGTAGTTCATCTTCTATATCAATACTCTCATCATTTACCACTTGAAGCTATGGTGACTGGTAGAGGTTTACTGCCATGAACACTTGGGATGAGGAGACAAGCTGTCAGTGGAGTTCTTAAGATGGAAGGGAGTCTTGTCCCTGATCTGATTTCTTTTTTTTTTTTTTTTTTTTTTGACAGGCAGAGTGGACAGTGAGAGAGAGAGACAGAGAGAAAGATCTTCCTTTGCCGTTGGTTCACCCTCCAATGGCCGCCGCGGCTGGCGCGTTGCGGCCGGCGCACCGCGCTGATCCGATGGCAGGAGCCAGGTATTTATCCTGGTCTCCCATGGGGTGCAGGGATAAGCACGCCTTTTCCTTTTATGAGGCAAACTGTGGGTTGTTCACCTCCTCTATTCATTCTTCCCTATAAAACCGATTATAACATTCCTTTTAGTTTCCAAAGGAAGACATCCTAGTTTCCAACACTGGTACAAGTTTCACTACAAGGTATTATAATGCCTTTTTTTTTAAAGGAAATTTGAATGAGAAGGAAAGTAAAATGTGTCCTCATTTAACTGAATGAGTGCTCAAAATACATCCTGGAATGACTATATTTGTTTAAAAATGAAAATGAAATATGCAAAAATATAGCAGTATGTTTTTTATTTCAGATATTTGATTATTATCACAAATAACCTGGTAGATTACTTTTGAAACTTACACTCTGTTACGAAATATATTTGTTTCATTTAATTAATATCTGAATAATATTACAATTATTATGTTTTGGGAATGATAGAATACAGAAGCTAAATATTTGTCAGTAAAAAATATTTGTCAGTAAAAATTATAAGTTCAGAAATTACAAAATACCCAACATTAGAGTGAGTGACTCTTCAAATGTTTCTGTCTATCTTTTGGAACGTATCACATGCTTATTTGTTCACAGAAAACAATATAAAATTGGCAATTTAATATCCTGTCAACATAAACTTTATTTATTTGAAAGTCAGAGTTACAGAGATTGAGAGTGAGAGAGAGAGAGATCTTCCATCCACTGGTTGACTCCCTAAATGGCTGCAATAGCCAGAGCTGGGCCAGGCCAAAGCCAAGAGCAAGAAACTTTATCTGGGTCTCCCACATGGGTGCAGGGGTCCAAGGGCTTGGGTCATCCTTGGCTGTTTTTCCAAGCACATTAGCTTGGAGCTGGATCAGAAGCAGAGCAGCTGGAATGCTAACTCGCACCCACATGGGATGCCAGAATCGCAGGTGGAGACTTAACCTGTAATGCCACAAAACTGGCCCCTATAAACATTTTTTTTTTACATAATGGATTAGCTTATAGGAAAAGTAAAATATAGTGCAATTTCCTTAAGATCAAAAAATAAATTTAACTTTTCCTTGGTAATGTGGGTATTGAGTATTATTTCAATAGAAACTGCTATTTTTTAAACTTTTTGAATATATACTATTTGCAAAATAATATTAACTTGTGAGGTGAAAAAACTATAACTATATTTAATGGAATAATTTAAAATTCTTTGTTAGTATTACTTTAATAAGGCTTTAAATTGTTATAAAAATGGAAAACAAATCAGATTTTATAGCCTAAAGCAGCTTTTCATAAGGTTTCAATTTTATATGTAAAAATGTCCTTTCTCATAAATTCATAGCAAATGTTGCTAAGATATATAAAAAAATTTATAAGCGAGATATACAGAAAATAAACTCTATAATCTGAAAAGCAAAAATCACATAACGGAACTACAGGCATCACAGCTTAATTCAGTCACACGTCACAAAGGAAAAAAACTGTTAACTTTGTAGATCATCTCAATCAATACACAGATTTCACATTTTCTGAGGAGACTTTCATTAATCCACTACCACACTCCTGCTTTTTGATCCTGGCCTCCAGCTTTCTCAAAAAACATGAAGTCCTAGAAAAAAACAAAAATACAGAAATGAGTTTTCAAAGCAAGGATTACTTTTCAGACATAGAAATACTAAAGACTCTGAGGACACACAGTAATCTATATGTTGCACAAAAAAACCCTAACTGTAATAAGTAAATCCCAGGAAAATCAATAGCTATGAAAGTTCATTGTTTAGCTTTTCCATTTAACAGCAATTAAATTCTGTAATTCTAATCATTTACTGACACCAGAATGAGGTAATTAATACTGTTAGTTTCTCTAAATATCACCTCTTCTCATGCCCTCTGAAATCTTTCTCATTCTCCCTCAATTTTCTGCAGTTCTTTTCTAGTAAGATAACTTTTTAAAAATTATTTATTTGAGAGGTACAGTTACAGGTGGAGACAGAGAGAGAGAGACATATACAAAAGTCTTCCATCCTCTGGTTGACTCCCCACAACAGCTGGAGCTGGGCAGATCCGAAGCCAGGAGCCAGGAGCTTCCTCCGGATCTCCCAAGTGGCTGCAGGGACTCTAAGCGCTTGGAACATCTTCTACTGTTTTCCCAGGGCATAGCAGAGAGCTGGATAGGAAGTGGGGCAGCTGGGACTCGAACTGGTGCCCACATGGAATGCTGGCGCCATAGGCAAAGGCTTAGCCTACTACATCACCAACACTGGCCCATATTGCTTTTTTATAGCAACTCAAGTTCCATGTACAATTTTAGGCTTTTTCAGGGAATGACTGCTATCTTTGAGATAGGAAGCATTAATTGCAATTGGTATTTTTCAACCCATTTTCCTCATTTCTCTTCCACTGTATCTACTGTGATTCCAGCTGGTTTCATACCATCAGTGTCTAACTAGACTCTCTACCCAGGGACTACAGTCAAATCATATGACTGTATTTCTTATTTTTCTCACATCTATTATTTTCCTTTATTTCTTCAACAGAAACAGTTTTACCCTTCTTGCCAAATGCTTGCAATATACTTTTGCAATTTTATATTTCTTTAATCTATTTTGCACCTAGTCACTAGTACTGATCTTTCTAAAATTATAATTACTGAAGCTGGTGTTGTGGCACAGCAGGTAAAGCTGCCAGTTGCAATCTTGGCAACCCACATCTGAGTACTCTGTTCTAGTCCTGCTTTCCCTGCTTCTGATCCAACTTCTTAGAAATTCATCTGGGAAGGCAGTGGTAGATGGCCCAATACTTGGGCCACTGCCACCCATGTGGGAGACAAGGATGGAATTCCCTCCTGGTTCCGGGCTTTGGCCTGGCCCAAGCCTGGCTGTAGCAGGCTATCTTGGGAGTAAATCAGTTAATGGAAGATCTCACTTTCTATTTGTATCTCCTCTGTTGCTCTGACTTTCAAATAAATGAAATTTTCATAAATTATAATTACTTTAGGATACCCTGTTGAAAAAACAATTCACAATTTTCAGTGACTTAGCCAGTATTTACAAGAAGTCCAGAGTCATTCTCTAATGATCTCTTCATCATTCCAGTCCCACTTCCCATTAATTCAAACAATCCAGGTTGCCTTCTCTCCCCCAAACACACTTATCTTTTATATTCTCTGATTTTGGTTAAATAGTTTAAGGTTAAATTTTAATTTGGGAGTAAAAAGAATACTTATTGAAAACATGTTTTACATACAATTCAGATTATGAATGGCACTCAAAATCTTTGTGAATAATGAAATGAGACATATTACAGCACAAAAAAAATAAAATGCATGTATACAAGGAGTTTTAAAAAGTTCATGGAAAAAATGTGTATTATGAAAAAAATCTATAGATATATTTCAAATATTTCTGCACCAAAATAAAATTATCTTTTTTCCACTTTCCTAAAAACTTTTTGGAGGAACCTTGTATTTAAACTTTATTATAGAAAAATTAAGCATATGACAAATTAAATATAATAGGATAAGAATGTCTCAGAAAGTGCTCATCCAGCTGTTATCAATACAATCAGTCTTAGGTCATCCAATATTCTGTCCCCTATTCTATTTTAACTTACCTCCATTTTAAAAGCAAATCATTGATGAAATCACCTAATGAAATACTTCAATGTGTGCCTGTTAGTTTTCACAGAAATGATATCACATTTTAAAGGAATCTTAATTATTCCTTAATATTGATCAAATTTTCATGAAAACCTCATAAATGATTTTTCACAATGGCTTGTTCAAATATGATCCACAAATTGTATTAAGTTAACATCTCTCCTTAATGTATTAAGTCCTTCTTTCTCCTACTAGAATGCATAGACTCATCCAAACAAAATTTATTCACCCATGAATCCATTGTCATGATCACATGGGATTTCAGAGCTGGAATTAAAAAGGAGCTTGTTTGAAACCTATACATGCAAGATAGTCAATGAAAAAATTTATATTTACTGAATAATTTCAGAATGATTCTAGAGAAATGATCCATAACCAAGATTAGTAACAATGGACTTACAATGAGGAAACAAGCGCCAAGCATCACAGCTTTCATTTTCACATCAAGGTCTAAAGGGAACTGGATCCCAAAGTTATCAGCGTCTGTAAATGCCTCTTTCAAAAGCCCAGTCCACTGCTTAGAAATCTTGCCAACCATGCTTTGTTCATCTAGAGATTTAATCTGAAGTGCAAAAAAAAGTCTTAAAAATTTCTGGAAAAGTTACAACAAAACTTTTGTCACGTATTTTGGAATATACTGTAGACTTTTATATAAAGATTTAATTAATTAATTTATTTATATAAAGGGAACTGATTTACATACAGTTTTAGGAATTTAATCAGACTTCCCACCATCCTATCCTCTCTCGCTCTCATTTTTCTCCTTTTTATTTCTTATTTTTCTTTTAATTTTTGAAAGGACACACTTTCAATTTACTTACTTTATAAACACAGGCTTAATCCTTCCCTAAATAAATAAAGAATTCAGCAAAGAAAAGCTGTTTTAAAAACTGATGTAAAATAAAACAAATATTGGATTAAAATTTGCATCCTATGTTACTATGAACATTTTACTTTCATTAGACAGACATAAGCTTCTGCATCTATTCGTGGAAATGTTAAAATATAGTAGACACTGTACAGAGAATGTACAAGAAAGTAGTTTTGCTGAAATGTTTAACACCTTCAATTTTACATTAAATAGACGGTAATAAATTCTTCAAGTGGTCAAAACAAAATTTAACGAGGAGGATAGAAATAGTAAATGTTTCTTTGATGAAAGTTCTAGAAGCTGCGAGGAAGGTAGTAAACAGAATTCTCAAGTGATTTCTGCTTTGAAAGAAGCACAAGGTTTACAAAGGTGAAGTTTGAATATGATAGGAGTTCTCATTACCACCACTCTCAGTAGAAAACATGAGTGCTAAGAGCCTGGAAAAGAAGATTGGTAGTTTTGAGTGAAGCAAAGTATTGAATACCTAAATGTGGGATAGCCCAGGTCAATGTGTGCAGTAAGAATGGACAAGTAGTGGGGCACGGGCAGTACAAGAAGAAGGAAACTCCAAAGTAAAGATCTTACTATTTGACAATTCTTCCTAAGGAAAACTCAGGGCCATCAGAACAAATTGAATGGATTATGGGCAGACTACAGACACTCCCCAGGTGGGCAGGTGGAGGCTGAATGTAGCCCACACTGACCAGGTTACATACACACAGAGCTGTGTCAGCTGAGATAAAGAATGTGTTTTTCAAACGTGCACAGGTGCCACATGAGCTAGCAATACCCTCTGAAGCCCCTGTCCCAGGGGCCACAGAGGAGACTGAAGAGTTGGTTGGTGTTATTTGGGTGGGGGTTGGGATAAGAGGGATGTTCAAAACCTTGAAATAAATTTCCAATATGGAACTGTGATAGCATGGACTACTATCAAATATCCATTTCATTCCCTCTCCCACTGTAGGCCCAGGATTCCTCTTGCTCATTGATAATTGGGTTCAGCCATATGAGCTGTTGAACAAGGAGTGTTACCTGGTATGACAGGAGTACTGTCCTTCAACATGGCTATGTGGTTCGTCCTGGCTCTTGCTTTCCAGTGATAAGCCATTAGAAAATATGATCCAATTAGGTCCTCCTGCTGCAACCCCAGAACAAACGTACCTGGAGCAGCTTGAGGCCAATGTGCCAGCTGTCATCTAAGCATTTTCACTACTGATAAAAACCTTACATTTTATTTTTTAATTTTGAAACTTTTTAAACTTTAATTTAATAAATTTAAATTTTATTTAATAAATTATATTTCCAAAGTACAACTTTCGAATTATAGTGGCTTTTCCCCCCATAACCTCCTGAGCAGCCGGCAACCATCCCATCTCCCACTTCCTCTCCCATCCCATTCACATCAAGATTCATTTTCAATTATTTTTATACACAGAAGATCAATTTAGTATATACTAAGTAAAGATTTCAACAGTTTGCATCTACACAGAAACATTAAGTATAAAGTATTGTTTGAGTACTAGTTATGCCATTAATTCACATAGTACAACACATTAAGGACAGAGATCCTACACGGGGAATAAGTGCACGATGACTCCTGTTGTTGATTTAACAATTGACACTCTTATTTATGACGTCAGTAATCACCCAAGGCTCTTGTCATGAGCTGCCAAGGCTATGGAAGCCTCTTGAGTTCCCCAACTCCGATCATATATAGACAAGGCCATAGTCAAAGTGGAAGTTCTCTCCTCCCTTCAGAGAAAGGTACCTCCTTCTTTGATGGCCTGTTCTTTCCACTGGGATTTCACTCACAGAGATCTTTCATTTAGGTTTTTTTTTTTTTTTTTTTTGTGGTTTTTTTTTCTTGGCTTTCCATGCCTGAAATGCCTGAAATACTCTCATGGGCTTTTTAGCCAGATCCAAATGCCTTAAGGGCTGATTCTGAGGCCAGAGTGCTGTGAAACATTTTTTAAATGAAAAAAGCAGATGGCATCTTACTAGCAACCGTCAATCCAATACACTGATAAAGACATTACTATTTTACCTTTCTGATATCTACAGCAAGAAATTAAAAATCCACCAAAATTTATACAAAAAAAGAAAATACATAATTTTTTGTGGCAAGGATCAGAAATATGTACAATCAACTAAAAATCATGAGGACTAGATAATTTTAAACTATATTCTAGAAGTTATTTTAAAAATAAGAAATCCCTGTAATAAAAATTCAGCCTCTGGAAATAAAAATGGTATTATATTAATGTTAAAATTTTAATCCATAAATTTAATAACAGTCATTAGTGAAAAAATTCTAAGAAACATAGTCATTTTCTCACAAGGTAAATATAAATATAAAATCTGAAAGAAAAAAAAACACAGAACATAGGCCCTATCAAAGGAATATACTATAATAATGTACAGCATTAATTATGATTGGTCATTTTTTACTAATAAAACATTATACAATATTTAGTATATCATAGAAAGAATTCATAAATAAGAAATTTAATCCTCAAAACAATCATGTACAAAATGTGATTATACAATTTTCATGTAAAAAACTGCAGACAAGAGAGATTAAATAATTTGTCCAAGGACACAAAAATAAAATGCTGATGATATAGCCTGCTGTTTAGTAACCTTAGTATCAAATGCTAACAAAAATCTAAATCAAGAGTCACAAAAAATGATCATTTGGCCCTATTGACCACACAAAAATTTTAATTCAAATTTCAACTTTTGTACTGCATTGACACACCCGTGTGTGTGTGTGTGTGTACATGCTCATGAGTGATGAAGTCTAACAACAAAGGGTTGGTTTAGGGAAATATCTATCAAAGGACAACTGCAAGATCAATCTTTCCAAGAAACAATTCACTTTTTATAAGTTCATAAGCAAAAAGTAAACAAATATATAAAAAGGGTGTGGATGTAACAGACAATGCAAAGGAACACAAAGGCTGGTAGCCAGTAGGCTTAGATGAAAACACTTAAACTCCCAAGTCTCCTCCTCCTTCCTCTCTTCCCCTGCCTTTCCCTTCCTGCTTTTACGTTTTCTTTATTAATCTGAATTTTACAATTGATCTGAACCATGTCTGGCTGTCCTTGTTTTTTTCTTATCCGGAGCTATTGCACTTTCTGAACCTGAGGCACCATGGCAACAACTCTGTGCAGCTCTTACCAATTTTTCATCTGTTGATTTTCTTTGTGGGTGAAATAGATGCTAAAGCATTGTATAATTTTTGAATTGTCTTATGTAAAGATAGAGGAGTTTTTAAAGATTTATTTATTTATTTGAAAGGCGGGGTGATCAAAACAGGTACAGATAGAGTGAGAGATCTTCCACCTGCTGATCCACTCCCCATATGGTCACAACAGCCAGGGCTGGGCCAGGGCAAAGCCAGGAGCTTGAGGCTTCATTGGCTCTTCCACATGGGAGACAGGGACCCAAGGACATGGGGCTTTCCACTGCTTGCCTAGATGCATTAGCAGAGAGGTAGAAGTGCAGAAGCCAGGATCCAACCTTCACTCCCATATACATTGCTGCATTGCAGGCAGCAGCTTAGCTCACTGTCACAATGCTGGCCCCAAGATAGAGGATTTTTATGCAAGAACTGAGGATGCTCTTTGGTGATTAGTCTTTTTCTAATATGCTTTTGCATCTATTCTGTCATGTATGTAACCACTCAGGATCAATTTCATTGTTTTCAGATTTCTTAACTGCAGCAATGATATGGATTCAGACTTTAAACTCATCACCAGGATTGGATTGAGATATCTATTTCATATGGCCATTTTCCCCCCTACCAAGAGTCCTGGGAAGGAGAGAGACAAAGGTTACTTGAACAAAAGCCCAGAAGTACTGTGACATCGGATAACTAAGATAGTTACTAAGTGAATCATTAGTCACGCAGTAAGTAGTTTATAACATTAGGAACAAACAGATGACTCACAAAATGGCCCACAATTTAAAACTTGTAAATTATTTATTTCTAGAATTTTTCATCTAATATTTTCAGACCACAATTGATTATGGATATGCCAAACTACAGAGAGTGAAACTGGGTAAGGAGTGACTTTTATACCAAATTTTGTACAACTATCCTTGTCTAATTGGGCTTCTTGTAGGAGGTCAATTATGTTAGACCTTTTATATTAGCCTACAGAGCTGCCAGGCTGTATTTCCGAATAGAAGGATCTGTAACCTTGGTAACCAGACTAGACAAGGTCAGTTTTCTACTGAAAATGGATAACATATAGCATCATCATACAAGACTCTAAAAGAAATTTTGCCAATGGCACTTCTAGAGCTCTTACCCAGCTACCGGGAAAGTTTCACTCCAATTTTCTGTATTTATTTATTTACATTTTTTTTTTTTTTTGAAAGAGCATGAACAACTGAGTACCTGTGAGTGCTCTCACCTGCTGCTTCCCTCCACAAATGCCAGTGACAGTGGTGGGGATGGTGGATGCTGAGCCACCCCAAAGCCAGGATCTCCATCCCAATCTCCATCAAAGGGCCAGGGATTCAAGCATTTGAGCCATCACCATCTGTCTTCAGGCATCCACAGGACTTTAGAATTGGAGTGGAACTGGGACTTGGCACTTCCATATGGGATGTAGACATTCCAACAGGTAACTTAATTGCTAGGCCAAACACCTATCCCTATTTTGCTATTTTCACCTTATAAGCGACTTTGCTCACATTATTATTTTTATCATAATAAACAGTGATGTTTGGTCAAGGTAATAACCACTATTTTGAACACAGTTAAATATGAGCACATCATCTCTTGCTTGAAATGTTTATACATAATAGTTTTGAATGTTTTACTTTTATATCAACACATTATCCTCCTTGTGATACATCTGTATACAATATTAATATGCTATTTTAATGTAATTAAATGCTGAAAAATTATATTTGCACATTAAGAAAGCACATTCTGATAACATCATGACATTTCTTACCTCAAAATCAATATCTCCAAAACAGCTACACACAATACATGGACCAGAAATTTTTAGCACATCCTCTTTCTTCTCATTTTGAATTGTAAACTTGGGCAGACAGGGGTGCCAGGTCTGAGTTACATAACCAATTGGGACACCAGGAGGAGCTTGAACTTCTATCTATAAAGGAAGAATAATGTATGTAAATGTAATAATGATAATACGCTTAGGTGAATGAGGAGGTGAAAAGCACTGAGCGACTTTACAACCTGCCCTGGTGACTGTGCACTGACCTTCTGAAGGCAGCAGGGGAAACAGCAACTGGTGCATCTCAGTGGTCGCTCCAGGGTGATCACTTCTCGGCCCGTGTTATCAAGAATCCTCAATGTGAAAGGTCTAGATGCCCCACAGCAATTTCGGGTACAGCAATCAGTATCTTCCACTGCTAGGAAAACCCTCTGTCCAAGGCTGTTCCTAATTTCATATTTGTTTTGAGTTTCAAAACCTGTTAAGACTTTAAGACACAAAGAAGAAATCATCATCACCCATAAGGCAAGAACACTGCTCTACCCTGAGATATTATAACACATGGCTACACCAGTGTTAGATGATGATCCAGGGAGAAAAAGAAGGTAAAGGAAAGACATTTAGAGAGGACCCTGACTGAGACAAAGAGAAAGGGAAAGCACAAGGCCAGGCTACTAAGGTTCAGGAGATTAAGAGTTCTCTAGGGAGACACAGAGAGGAGAACGAGGCAGATCTTCCTGATTGCACAGACTCCCACCTGAAAGGGAAACAGTGGAGAGCGCTGCTGCAGCGATGCAGGTACACAGTCGTGCTATGTGTGTGGATAAGATGTCCCCTTAACCTGGTGCAGGTTCATGCATTACGGAGGAGAATGGAAGATGACAGGTACACTCATGCGCCATGAAATGTTATAGTCCATCAGTTGGTTTAGTACACTGTTCTATAAACCATAATTAATGTCTTAAATTTCTGTACTGTTTGAATAAAGGCAATGAGAGGGCTTACTTTCAATGCACATGTGTAAAAAGAGAGAGTAGAAATGGAAGGTGAACTAGAGCATCCTATTGGGCACCACGTACCACGGTTTAACTCAGCAGCAGCTGCTTAGAAGTAAGGGAGGAGTACTGGGCCAGGGGAAAATGCGCTTGGCGACCAGGGCTTCATCTAGACAAGGGGCCTCCCGAGTGAACTCTGCACCTTACCAAGGTTAATCTCTGCATGCGGGAAACACACTGCATGTGAGACCTACATGCTATCCCACCAGGGGACTTCCTATACTGACTCACACATTGGACACCTCACCACTCACACACTGGACAGCTGGCAAGGGGCAACCCAGGGCCCAGTCTGTCCATAGCCCCCAGTAACCTGAAACACAGATGTCAGAAGCCTGACCAAAATAATAAGCAGTGGTTCAGAAAACATGTGGAGGTAAAAACTAGTTTCTGATGTATGCAGGTACAGAAGTTTGGTCAGATAGGATGCCTTTCACAAGCTTTGTCAGGACAAATTCTCTTAAGTGTGTTTAGTGGGACTCATGCCCTGGACCCATGACTTAAACATCTGCCACAGTTGTATGTTTGGTGAGAAAAAACTAGACTGATCTTGAGAGGGTGTTTATTATCTGGTTAAGTAGCTTATTCTCAAAGTCTGTAGTTTGTTGATTTGTTAAATAACATGGGTTAACATAATCTCTAAGTTTCCTTCTGGTTACTTGAAAATGAAACCAAACAAAGCAAAAGAATTCTGTTTATGTCTGTTTGATCTCTTAAGTTTTGAAATGAGAGAAAATGTTAATGCTTTATATGCTCAAATGTTAAAAGAAACTGGGTATTCTTCACCTTCTTTATAATATGAAAAAGCAAAACCCTAAACATTCAATTTGGGGGAAAAACAGCAAGGAAATTAAAGATATCCTAGTAAACTTGGAACATATTCTGTATCCCATGATTAAGGCACATACTTCAAGTATATTTATAAAGTTTATAAATCTAAAAACCTGTTGTGCTGTATAATGTGCAGAATAAGTTGTTCTGATTATATAACTTTAATAAGTATAAATAGCATATTTTACAAAGAATCAAAATTACCAAATAACAAGGGGTTCTTTTCTGGACAGAACTTTGTTTAGAAAAATTAAACAAATGTAGAACCATTACAAACATCTCAGTGTATATTTTAAATAATGTAAATATAAGAAATGACAACTGCATATTTTAATTATATTCATTACTCTGTTTGGAAAGGTTAGCTTTAATTTCTATCAGAGAAAAGAACTCTGCAGACAGGTGAAGATGGACTTAACAGACATATGGTGCAGACCAGCAGGGTCATTAAACCCTTTTTATCTAGAAGGAGGACACTATTGTTCAGGAATCCATCCAAAGGCTTGCGCCATTAGCAGCTGTCCTGGAACCTTGATTGGCTTCTTGAGGTTATACTTGCACCTGGAGGTCATGGCACCAATGTACAGGGGGTGGTGTGAGACCCACTCAGCAGGAGCAAGCTTGCTCTTCTTGGGAGCCCAGCCTCAAACCTGCTGGTCAGCATCCTCCAACTCTGCAGTGCCCCTGCCTATAAGCTGACAATCCACAGCCCAGGGGACAAAAGTCTAATAAGGCTCATCTGAACTCCCAAGAGAAAATGTGGAAATAAGCAATGATTTTCCAAAATCACCATCCGGATTCAAACTGATCACTTGTTTCAGAAATGTACTGGCTGGCGCCGCGGCTCACTAGGCTAATCCTCCGCCTTGCGGCGCCGGCACACCGGGTTCTAGTCCGGGTTCTAGTCCGGATCGGGGCGCCGGATTCTGTCCCGGTTGCCCCTCTTCCAGGCCAGCTCTCTGCTGTGGCCAGGGAGTGCAATGGAGGATGGGCCAAGTGCTTGGGTCCCTGCACCCGATGGGAGACCAGGAGAAGTACCTGGCTCCTGCCATCAGATCAGCGCAGTGCGCCGGCCACAGCACGCCAGCCGCGGCAGCCATTGGCGGGTGAACCAACGGCAAAAGGAAGACCTTTCTCTCTGTCTCTCTCTCTCACTGTCCACTCTGCCTGTCAAAAATAAAGAAATAAAGAAATAAAGAAATGTACTAAGGCAGGGCCAGTATTGTGGCATGAGTTAAGCCACTGCCTGCAGCAACAGCATCCCATATGGGTACTGGTTAGTGTCCTGACTGCTCTAGTTCCTATTCAACTCCCTGCTAATGTGCCTGGGAAAGCAGCAGAAGATGGCTCAAGTTTTTGGGACTCTGCATTCAAGTAGGAGACCTGGAAGAAGTTCCTGGCTCAGCCCTCACTGTTGTGGCCATTTGGGGAGTGAACCAGTGGATGGAAGACCTCTCTTTCTTTTTCTTTTTCCTTTTTTTTTTTTTTTTTAAGATTTATTTATTTACTTGAAAGTCAGAGTTACACAGAGAGAAGGAGAGGCAGAGAGAGAGAGAGAGAGAGAGAGATGTCTTCCCATCTGCTGGTTCACTCCCCAATTGGCCGCAACAGCAGGAGTTGTGCTGATCTGAAACCAGGAGCCAGGAGCTTCTTCCAGGTCTCCCATGTGGGTGCGGGGGCACAAGCACTTGGGCCATCTTCCACTGCTTTCCCAGGCCACAGCAGAGAGCTGGATCAGAAGTGGAACAGCTAGGTCTCGAACCAGCGCCCATATTGAATGCTGGAACTGCAGGGGGGCGGCTTTACCCACTACACCACAGCAATGGCCCCAAGACCTCTCTTTCTGTCTCTCTCTCTCTGTCTTTCTCTCTGTACTAATAATACCTTTCAAATAAATAAAATGAATCTTTAAAAAAAAGGAAAGAAAAGTGAAAACAAATAAACTAAGGCAGCCAAACAATTGCATATAGCTCTGACCCATTTTCAAGCTGAGCACAAACTGAGGAGAAAACAAAAGTCAGATAAAAGGATTTGTAGGAAAGAAGCAAAATGTTTTGATTGTGTTCCTTCTAAGTTAATGTCTGTATTGTAAAGAAATATGCAGAGCAAAATCTTATTTTACCATGAGAAAATTTTAAAGTGAATTGCCAATATTGTTCATAATTTCATTAATGTGAAGAGAGACTTTTTTCAATAGCTTGAATTAATTGCCCCATGTGTGTCACGTTGATATATTTATGGTGGTTAATATGCATTTATCAGCATAAATATCTTTTCTTTCTATAAATATGATGAATATGATGAAAACATACCTTCTAGTAGTTCAACTTGTTGATGAATCAATAGCTGATCAATCTATTATACAAAAAAGAAAATTAGTCTGTAAGTTTATGTCAAAGAATTTTCTTAAATCAAGCAAAATATAATTAGTGTGTTTATATTTCTGAAATTGCATACAATCAAGTATCTATGTTTATTAATCTTATTAATACTTCATAGTCTATGTTACCTTCTTTGTAAAACTAAAGATAATGTATTTAAAGTGACTTCCATGTGAATTCCTAAAAATATTTAGAAAATTCTGCTCCCTTTAGAAATGGCTCAAGAAACTTCGATAATTTTTCTCTGTTAAAGAAAATTTTCTGCATGTCTGAAAAAGCTTTGAAGTATACCCGATACCATTTGGAGCTGGTGATAACTTCTATGTATTTTGTGAGATCTTGATTTGCACTTCTCAGAGTACTTCTTGGAGAACATAATCATGACTAAAATCTTTTAAAGAATGTACTTAGTGCATTGTGGGAAGCAAAACAGGTACAGAGAATATAAGAGTGACCACTGGTTTACCAAAAGCTGATTGGATGTCATAGAATATTTGTTTATATATTGGGCACACAGAATTTCACATTACTTTTTTAACTGTCTGATTCCTAACACCAAAAAATGGTATACATCATATTGCTGACATTAACAGTTACGTAGTAAAGAAAACTCCAAGATATTTTCTGCCCTCATTGACAGCACTGATAAAGTTGGATATTCCAAATGATGAAAGCAACATCATCAAGCTGTATCACTAATTATAACAAAAACGGGGAGTCAAATGACAAAAAGTATTAAAACTCCTCATTTGGGACCACTAATTTAAACTCAACAGTAAACTTGATGTAGAGTTCCTTTTCCAAGCTCTAATGTAATTTTTTAGAGTTGGGATTTCAGAACATAATGCACAGCCCCAGAGTTCCAGGAATGAAAAATCAGCCCCACTTCCTTAGGAAGTTACATAACTTCTCTGAACATCCGTCTCTTTGGACAAATGGTGTCTTGTGCCTAAACATCATCGATTTTCTATAAAGATTGCATGAGTTACTACATGTATTATTTAGGATAAAGACTAGAAAATCATGTTTAATAAATATTGACTACTGTCTATTGCCATAAATGGTATTCAAGATCATAGAAGACACAATTTTTAAGATATTTTTATTTTGATTTAAAAATTGAAACTGACTTAGAAGAATTCATTAATAAAATACTTTATTATTTCAAGCTTGATGAATTATTAATTTGTTATTCTGGTTAAGTAAATTGGAAACAGGTTGCTTCAGGATTATTTTATACATTTGAAATTACCTGAGTCAAATATTCTAATCCAGGTGGGCAGTTCAATGGAACTAGTGGAGCTGGCATCCATGGTATTCCTGCAGGGCCACCAGGCTGAGTATGTCCTGGCTGATTCTGGACAGGAAAGCTACCTGGACTGGCAACCGGTGGGGCTGGGTAGCTGGCCTGGGGTCCTAGGTAGCTATCCTGGGGTGCTGGATAGCCAGCCTGGGGCCCTGGGTAGCCGGCCTGGGGTCCTGGATATCCATCCGGGGGCCCTGGATAGCCAACCTGGGGCCCTGGGTAGCCGGCCTGGGGTCCTGGATATCCATCCTGGGGCCCTGGATAGCCAGCCTGGGGCCCTGGATAGCCAACCTGGGGCCCTGGGTAGCCAGTATGTGCTGGAGGTCCTGTAACAGAAACAAGTAAAATAATTTTACAACCACACGGTAAAATAGAGTCATCAATCCTTTTAAGACTATCCCAGTTACCCACAAACTGACCTCAGCTCAAGAACCTGCATGTGTGAAGCTGAATGTATATTTTTATTTTTCAGAGATTATCCAATGAAATGTTTGTTCCACATGCACTTCTATTCAGAAAGTGTGGACAGATGTGACCTGTGGCTAATTCTTTACCATTCAAAATCAGATGGAAAATGTATCTGAACAATTGAGAGAAAATGAACTATGACCCAGAGTCACTTAAATAAAGATTATGGCATGACTTTGGGAAAAGGGAAATAACGTTAGGTAGAAGACCCAATATAAAGGTTTTGCAGCAATATTTTGGGGACCAATGCACCCTGTAGAAAATGTTAATTGCAGGGCCAGTATTGTGATACAGAGGGTTAAGCCACTGTCTATATGATACTAGCATCCCATATCTTAGCACTGGTTCAAGTCCCAGCTGCTTTGCTTCCTGTCCAGCTCCTTATTAACATCCTGGGAAAGCAGTGGAATCTGGCCTAAGAACTTGACCCTTATCATGCATGTGAGAGACCTGGACTGTGTTCTGGGTTCCTGGCTTCAATGTGGTCCAGATATGACTATTTCAGCCATTTGGGCAATGAAACAGCAGATAGAAGATCTATCTCTCTCTGTCTCTCCCTCTCTCTCTATAACTATCCATTTCAAATAAATAAATCTTTTTAAAACAGAACTAAGAATATTAAAAAAGCAAACAGAATAAATTGTTTTAAAATGGTATTTCTGGAATTATAACAAAGGACATCTCATATGTATAGAACTGGGGGTAGTTTTGCCCCCACCTCCCTAAGGGATAGTTGGCAAGGTCTTGAGACATTTTTGTTCACAAAAATTGGAGGAGAGGTTGATACTGGCCTCTAGTGGGTAGAGACCAGGGATGCTGTAAATTATCTTAAAATACTCAGAATGGCCCCCTGAAAAAAAAATCATCCAGACTAAAACATTTGCTTAAATAAAATATATTAAAAAGGAAAATGCATTGCCCTAGATAATTTTTACTTGTGTAGTCTTTTAGCAATTGAAAGAGGTGAAGTGAACTCTTCACTTAAGGTGAGCTGTTTCAGGTCAATTTCAGAGCTAATTTGTGGTAACACTCTGTTTCAAACTCCATAAAATTAGACAGCAGAGATAACTGAGGTTGAATTTCTAGATTTCGAATTTGACTTTATGAGTGTTTGGTTTCATGCTTTGTAAAAAGATAGGTTTAAAACCATACACAGTGAACAGAGCGATAAATCAAACTGGTTGGTTGTGGGATGGTAAGGGTAGAATTATGGGTGATTATAAAGATATCAAAATTATTATTAAGAATTATTTAAAATATTTAAAATAATGTACATTAATGTTCTAATTTTTTATATTTACTCTAGAGCTACACCAACAAGAATGCAATGTAATATGAAATTTCAAAAATCATAACTGATTTTGTCCTGAAAAACCATATATTTAATCATAAAAATGAACATATTAAATGTTCTCTGTTAATATGGCTTGAACAATCTCAATAACTTTACATTCATGTCTCTGCAGTCACTCTTATCCAGCCCAGCCAGTCAAGCAGTGACAGAACATCTTTGGGGTCATTCCCCTCTGGTTGGCCTCTGGTGCCACCATGGCTCTGCTTTCGTAAACTTAAGGTCTAGTAGACACTATGCTTAAATTATTTTCCACTCTGTTCCCTTTAAATTGCCAGCTGCAAATTAAGATAATCTGGTTTTAAATTACAGATTCATCAAATACAGAGGAATATATTGGCCCAATGTTCAATCTGACAATTTAATCACGTTTTAGCAGGAAGGGAGGATCGTAACTCCTTTAATGCTTTTCTCCGTTCAGCTGGTTCCATAATAACTTTGGCAGAATGCACTTGGTGGGGACTGTGTAAATGCAGGGAAAGGACACCACAGAAATGGGGTGGTGTTGTGGTACGGGGGATTAAGCCTCACTTGTGACACCTGCATCATATGTGGGAGTGCTGGTTTGAATCCTAGCTGCTATGCTTCTGCCAGCACCAGCTTTCTGCGAATGCGCCTGAAAATGCAGAAAGCTGGAGAAGAGGGCCCAAATACTTGGCACTTTCCACCCATACGGGAAACTGGGATGGAGTTCTTTTTTCTTTTTTAAGACTTATTTATTAGTTATTTGAAAGGCAAAGTTACGGGGGCGGGGGGGGGGGGGACAGAGAGAGATATCTTCCATCTGCTGGTTCACTCCCCAAAGGGCCACAAAGGTCAGGGCTGTGCCAGCCCCCTGGGATGGAGTTCTTGACACCTGGCTTATTTGGTCCAGATCTGGCTTCTGCAGCTATTTGGGGAATAAACTCTCTTTCTGTTTTTATGTCTTCCAAATAAATAAATTGAAGAAGAAGAAGAAGAAGAGGGGGAAAAGAAGGAGGAGGAGGGGAGGGAGAAAAAAGAAGGCAGAAGGAAGAAGAAAGGAGGAAGAGGGAGGAAGGAGGAAGAAAACCCCAAATGACACACCTCTGAAATATCACAAGTTATTGCATATCTACCATTGTCTTTTCTCTCTCAGCTGCAGGTGAATGGCCTCGCTCCCTTTTTCTACCGCCTGCAGCCCTCACTCCCAACTTGAACTGGAAACAGGAACAACCTCAGAATAAATATCAAGGAAACTTTTCAAATATGAGTGAAAGATCTGTTAACTGACATGTCACATTTTGCTACCTCTAAACAGGCACAAGTGTTTGAATAATAGAAAATACAGACATGTACATGCCCAGAAACACAGAGATTCAAGAAACCAGGAGTTTATAATCAGATCTGGGATTCTGATACAGCAGTGTTCCTGGTTTCAGGAATTCCAGGAGGAAATCATACAAAGAGGTAATAAGTGAATGGGCAGGTTTCAAGTAAACCAAAGAGCATATGAGGGGCTGGCGCTGTGGTGTAGTGGGTTAACGCCCTGGCCTGAAGCGCTGGCATCCCATATGGGCACCGGTTCAAGACCGGGCTACTCCACTTCTGATCCAGCTCTCTGCTATGGCCTGGGAAAGCAGTAGAAGATGGCCCAAGTCCTTGGACTCCTGCACCCATGTGGGAGACCAGGAAGAAACTCCTGGCTCCTGGTTTTGGATCAGCACAGCGCTGGCCGTTGCGGCCAATTGGGGAGTGAACCAGCGGCTAGAAGACCTCTCTCTCTCTCTCTGCCTCTCCTTTTTCGCTGTGTAACTCTGACTTTCAAATAAATATATCTAAAAAAAAAATCCAAAGTTAACTGTTGATATTTTACTTCTAAATGTGGGCCAAATGTTCTTCTAAAAGTCTTGATATTTAGAACTGAAGATACTAAATATGAAATAAAAACTTGAGTTATAGGGGTGGGCATTGTGGCCTTCTGGATTAAGCCCCAGCTAGGGACATCTACATCCCATACAAGACTACCAGCTTCACCCTCCTAAACCACCATTCCAATCCAGCCTCCTTCAAATGAACCAGGGAGGGAACAGATGATGATTCAATTACCTGGGACTCTGCCATCAACAAAGGAGACCTGGACGGAGTTCTGTCTGGGTCCCTGACTTTGTTTTTACAAAGCAGGCTTTGGGGGAGTGAACCAGTGATGGAAGATTCTCTCTGTCTCTCTGTCTCTGTCTCTGTCTCTCTCTCTCTCTCCCATCCCCTTCCTTCCCCTCCTTCTGTCTTTCAAATAAATAAAAGAACTTTAAAAAAAAAAAAGACTGTTAAAAAAACCTGTCATTATAAACTATACCTCAAGCCCAAGAAATCTTTATATTTATGTAAATAGAAGTCAGTCCACAATAGTACAGTGTAAGACTGTAGACAAACTCCACCAGACCATATAATATATATATATACACACATATATGTGTGTGTATATATATATATATATATATACACTATATATATAGTTTAAACAAAAGAAAAAGAGGAAGAAGGAGAAGGTAGGAGAAGGAGAAGGGGAAGAGGATGGGGGAGAAGGAGGAGGAGGAGAAAGGGAGAGAGAGAGAGAGAGAGAGAAACAGTTGATTGTTGGCTGCAGTGTTAATGGAAGAAATCTTGAAGAGCAATAAAGGGTAGGAAAAGAGAAATCATGACACCCAGTGATATCCCTGCCAAGAAAGCCTTTTAAAGTAACATTGAATTACTTTAAAATAGTGGCATACTACTACCATCTGAAATCCTTTAGCATTATTTTATTCAGTGTCTGCTACTATGAGAGCATCCACATCTGTCCAAAATGCCTTCATGATGCAACAGGATTTTCTTATGGTCAGTGTTGCTCGTTCTAAAGGAAGTAATACCCCATTAACTTGGAATCTGTGGTTCAGCAGGTAGCCTTGGTTAATGTTTACCTTCTCATCATGTAATAAAGAAAGAAAATTAAGTAAATAGTGCAAAGAAAATTTGATCTTTTAAAACAAACCAGAAAAATCACAGGGCTACCATATTGTCTTGAACATATTTTATTTCTAATTTTAATTTTCTAGTATACATACCTATGTAAATACTTTGTGCCCAATTATTCATTTACATATACACATTTTATCTGTATGTTGCATATATATACATACATACACAGTTATATAGAGGGAAACATAGAGTTAAACCGTGATTATGATCATAGCCGTTTGAATGTTTAAGTTGAACTGAAGCATCTTAAAGCTTGTAGCAGGTGAAACAGTTTAACTGTATACCAATTTAAAGTTAAAAATCTTTGAATTTCATTAAAATTAAATCAATACAGTGGTCACTAAGGAAAAAGATAATATAACTTCACATGGGAAAAGCAACAGGTCTAGTGCTGAAGGTGTTTTATTTCTGATAATTTGACAAAGATAAAGGAGAATAAAAATCATTTCAGGGAAACAGGATTTGGTTTTATATATGTTTTCCCAATATATAGTGTTATAAACTTCAGAACATTTAAATTTTACCAAGATAAAGTCTTTCATTACATGCTTGAAAAATACCCATCTTATTTCAAAGTTTTTTTGAAGAAACAAAACAGAGTGCAACGAATGGTATTTATTTAAGTCTATACACACATGAATATTATGAAATATATTTTAGGGTATGTATCAAAATTTTTAAAAGTTTTATTTTAAAGCGAGAGAGACAGAGACAGAGAGAGACCTTTCATCTGGTGGTTCACTTCCCCAATGCTCACAAGAGCCAGGGTAGAACCTTTCTGAAGCCAGGAATCTGGAACTCCATCTGCATCTCCTATGTGGGTGGCAGAGACCCAAGTACTTGAGCCATTATCTGCTGCCTCCCAGGCGCATCAGCAGGAAGCTGGATGAGAGAAGCAGAGTAGCACCTCATTATGGTAGCAGGCGTCTCAAGCACCAACTTGACATCAATGAATTAGCATATTAAATCTACTGTCATTTAATTAGTATAAGTTGAATAATCTTTATGTATATGAAATACACAGAAGAAAGAAAAAGTTGCTACGGATAGAGTACCATATGCATTATACAAAATATTCACCAGGAGATCTAAAACTTCTTAGCTGTCCCTAAGATTTTTGTATTATTAGTAGTACAGGATATATTTGTGTATATCTCAATGACTAACACTTACCCAAAATCATATACTCTTAGAAAATGAAAGAAATAGTACAACAAATAACAACTTAACAATAGATTTAAAATTATACAAAAGAAAGTGAACACTTAAAGTAACTTACTTACCGGGTTTGTCCATTATTTAAACAAATCTGAAAAATAAGACTTGACATTAATATGTCGCCTATAATTAATATGTCAAACACAACAGATGAAATCAGATATTCTAATACTATACCACTTTACTCATGGAATGTTCCCCTCTATTCAGCCTGTTCAGCATTACCTGATCTTTAAAACCCTTTGGGTTTAATGTCACCCCATGATGCATGTCTGAGTAGGACTTGTGAAGTGGCTGGTCAACCCATGACAGTGGACTCTTTCTAAAGACCTTTGGGGAGAGGGTTGAATAAGGCAGAAAGCCACGTGAGCCCTAAGACCACAAATGGTACTCAAGATTAAAACTGCAGCCTTTACAACACCCACAACACAAAGGAAGATGCTCAAGTTCCCAGCATCCAGGCTGGACTTCAGCCCAGGAGAACTGGAAAGGCTGTCAGTCCCATTACTGTGATTATCCCTTGACTTGCCAGGTCCTGTGGCCCTATTCTGACCAACCTGGACCTCACCCTGTGTTCTGTGCATTAAAAGTTGCTTTGGCCGGCGCCGCGGCTCACTAGGCTAATCCTCCGCCTTGCGGTGCCGGCACACCGGGTTCTAGTCCCGGTCGGGGCGCCGGATTCTGTCCCGGTTGCCCCTCTTCCAGGCCAGCTCTCTGCTGTGGCCAGGGAAGGCAGTGGAGGATGGCCCAAGTGCTTGGGCCCTGCACCCCATGGGAGACCAGGAGAAGCACCTGGCTCCTGCCATCAGATCAGCGTGGTGCGCCAGCGGTAGCGTGCCGGCCGCAGCGCGCCGACCACGGCGGCCATTGGAGGGTGAACCAACGGCAAAAGGAAGACCTTTCTCTCTGTCTCTCTCTCGCACTGTCCACTCTGCCTGTCAAAAATAATAATAATAATAAAAAATTTGCTTTGTATCAGAGGACTCATTTTCAGGGGTAGTCACAGCTGTAGCCTATTGTTAATCCAAGTGACTCTTTGTGCCTGGTTATTTCTATAGAAACACAAGCAATAAAATTCAATTCAGTATTTCTGCTTTCCTGAGCTTCCATGCCATAGTAAGCTTTCCCACATTCCAGTTACGACTCTCTCTCTAACACAAATCCCAATCCCCTTCATGCAAATTTATCACAATGAACACATGAAGTAAAAACCTTGTTCCGCAACTGCTTTATCTTATATTCTTTTCTTTTTAGATTTATTTATTTATTTGATTTAGATTTATTTATTTATTTATTTGGCCGCAACGGCTGGAGCTGCGCCAATCTGAAAACAGGAGCCAGGTGCTTCTTCCCGGTCTCCCATATGGGTGCAGGGCCCAAGCACTTGGGCCATCTTCTACTGCTTTCCCAGGCCATAGCAGAAAGCTGGATCGGAAGAGGGGCAGCCGGGACTAGAATCAGTGCCCACATGGGATGCCGGCTCCGCAGGCGGAGGATTAACCTACTGAGCCACGGTGTGGGCCCCTGTATACTCACATTCTAATATGACTCAGTCCTTCCCATTACTAACTCCTCCTACTGTTCAGTCCTGGGTAGTCAGTAAGTCACCTGATCTTTCTACATCCTCAACTAAAATCTAGTGCTCCCAAAAAGTAACCACCTCTTTGTTCTCGCTTACAAAATTAATGCTTATCATTGTCAACTCTAAACATGAATCTAATAATCTATGAAATCTCTTAGAACATTCCAACTGTAGTCACCTCTTAATTATATATATCCATGAAGTTCAACAATGGCTGCATAATACATGATGAATTTACTTGGTCCTGTAATAAACCCCCAAATTTGTTTGTGTTACTAACTTCACTTCCTGGATTTTTTCAGAACACAGGAAATCCTGTTTACATTAACTGGTCAGAAATTAACTGCTTCGAAGCTCTTCAAGCCACAAAGGCAGAAATATTAACATTTATATTGCTTTCTCAGTTAATAAAAAGTTAAAACATAAGCTAATAAACAGGCGTGGTTGAAGTAGACTAAACATTTTCAAGAATGCATTAGTGTTTTAGCTTCTACCAGTTGAAGAACTGTAAAAGGAGACTAAACTCATACAACAAAAGGTCATGGATATTTTTGTCAACATCACATTTCCATTCTTAAGGATTATGTATTAAAATGTATATACCCCCCACCAATAAAAGGGAATACATAGTTTCTTAAAACACACCAAGAAAACCCTAACAAATATATTAAAATACTGATAAAAAGTATGGTCCAGGAGCAGAGAGTTGGCCTGCTCGTGGTTAAGATGCCCATGTCCTATATCAGTGTACATGGGTTTCAGTCCCATCTCCCACTCCTGACTGCAGCTTCCTGCTAATGCAGACCCTGGAGGGCAGCAGAGGATGACTCCAGTACTTAGGTCTCTGCCACCCACATGGGAAGTCTGGATTGAGTACCCAGCTGCCAGCTCCAGCACTATGCACTGTTGGCATCTGGGGAGTGAACCAGCCCATAGGAGCTTGTTCTCTATATTTGCTTGTTTCTCTCAAAGCAAACAAACAAACAAAAAAACCAAGTAGATGTAGATTCCGTAATGAACACTGTGAGAAACTCATCTTTAAAGTTTTATCTACCCCTTACTTCTTTTAAGACATCACCCTTTACTATAAGTATGCTCAGTTTTAAAATGTTCTAAGACCTTTCTCCAATTTTAATAGCAATTGTAAGGGATTAATTTTTTCAGTCATTCTCATCTTGCACTCAATGTCAAAAGAAACAGTAATTTCTAGAGCTAAATCCTAAACAATATTAAGAGGATAAACACAGCAAATTTGTTTTATTTTTTTATTTTGTTAACAAACCACTTAATTGAACAAAATTAATTCATTGTATCTTTATTGAAAATCTATACATCTGGGCTGGTGTTGCGGTGTGGTGGGAAAAGCCATCTCCTGCAACACTGCAGGTGCACCCACATGGGTGCTAGTTCATGTCCCAGCTGCTCCACTTCTGCTCCAGCTCCCTGTTCATGGCCTGGGAAAAGCATCAGAAGATTGTCCAATGTTTGGGCCCCTGCCACAACGTGGGGGACTTGGATGGAGCTCTTGGCTCCTGACTTTGACCTGGCGCAGCACTGGCCATTGTAGCCACCAGGGGAGTGAACCAGCAGATGGAAGACCTCTCCCTCTGTGTGTGTGTGTCCCTCACTCTCTGTAGCTCTTATTTTCAAATAAAGCAAATCTTAAAAAAAAAAAAAAAACTATACATCTAAGATGGAAAACATTTATTTTAAATAAAGGACATACTAGCAAGAAAGGGAATTCATAAACTAACACTATGCATAATATTAGGAACAGCTAGAAGCTCTTACGTGTGGAATGCTGTAAATTTTCAAATCCTTGCCAAATGAGTATCAACTATAAACACACTGTATTTATCTTCCTCAGGGTCAGAGTTCATTCCTTCCTTGCACAGAAATTCAAGGGATAGAAATGAAACAGTATAAACAATTTGTTTGTTCTCATGCTTTTTCTTCCTGCTTGGCAGCATAATTTTGATTTTGAGTCTTAAATACAAATTAGTATGGATGAATAGCTATGGGCAAAGCTATTATAGAATAAGATCTGGGTCTCTGTTTTACTGTAGGCTTTATAATTTTAGCAATTACATAATATTTCAAGCATTGAAAATGGTACGTCATAAATTCTGGCACAAAATGTTAAGTGATCCTTGTACCTGCATCAGTGCTAACTGGAGAAAGGAACTGCATTCCAGGTGAATACAGTCATCTACCATGTGGATGCCTTCCCTGAATTTGATCTCGTTTACTGGTACCATGAAGGATTTCCTGAAACATAATGAGTCTAATCCAAGACATAAGTCACTCTCATCAACTGGGACCAACAGAGTTGGAAGTGACTAAATGTTTCATGAGACTAATGAGTAAGTCAAGGAGACAAAAATAATCAAAACTAATCTTTAAGTCAGTTGTTCTTACTTGATTGCTTTATTAGTTCTGAAAAGCCTTTCCTTATAAAACAGAGCTTCCTCATTAATTTGAATTTCTTTTCTTCCTGTCTCATAAATGTGCAAACTAAGTCCAGAAACACAAAATCATTATCTACAGCCACACAGCTTAGTAATTAGCTGAATTTAAAATGTTCCATTCCTTTTGCACTCATGTCCCCAACTCACTTATGTAAGACAGAAAAAGCTTTAGTTTCATTTTATTCGTGTAAATTTGGAATGAGAAGCACACAACTGTCAGAAGTAATTGACTGAATGGTTTGGCTTTTAAATTTAGCACTAACATGCTACTGCCCCAGATTGTGTGTACACACTATACATGCATGTATACACGTATAAACACTGCTGCTATAAATATGCATTTAATGTAAAGGCTTTCAAAAAATACTCAATAAAGGCAAAGGACATTCAAGGCACTAAAGCAGTACAGCTCCTTGGCACTAGGGGGCACAGTTACGGCAATGCAATCAATCATGAAAAACACCCTAAATTCTAGGAATAAAGCTGATGGTGTTTCAAGAATGGATTATTAGGGCACTGACTTACATACAGGGAGGCAGTAGTCGAGATGTCAGGAAAGTCAGAATGAGACCTGAAGGACATCCACAGCCAAGTAATCCATGGAAGTGGGGGGGGGGGGGGGGGGGGGTGAGCAGTGCATTAGGGACAGAGCAGGCCTCACAGGTAGAAGTCCTGAGGCTGAGGGAGCCTGGATCATTCTAGAAAGGAAAGCTCTCTAAGGTTACAGCGCAGAAGAGGGGGAGGCCCTCAGAGGTGAGGACAGGGAGGTGCTCAGGGGTCCTCCCACGGTTCTGGTCTCCTCACCTCTGCTCTAAGCCCCTTACAGATCTGAAGGCTGCTTGGTCTGCAATGCAGCTACCTTACCCACTGTTTTTCTATCCAACTGCAGAAATCAAATCAGCTCTCTCTTCATTTTCCATTTGTTCATCCTCCAAAATCCTACAACTGATGTAAATGCCGGGGTGGCATCAGGAGAAAAGTTCTGTTCTCAGGGAAGCTCAACAAAGAAACAGGAATCCCCAACCAGTCTGACACTTCTCCCTCAGCAAGTGTGCTGTGTGCTAATCCCTTATGTCAAGTTGCTAAAGCAGAAGGAACCGTCACTAGAACTGTTAAGTGCCCATGACAAGACTGCCAGGACAACAGCACACAATAGAACTACATGGGCACCAGATAGTATGCTTGGAGCAGCACTGTTATATGTGTAAGTTAATAAAAGCTAACTTTCACAGAGTGCTTTCCACAGTGCCAGTCCCTGCCTGACCAGCACGACATTAATACACGTAATACTCTTTGTAATTCTTTTACCAGTTACACAATTTCAGAGAGGAGAGAAGGCAGGAAGACCAGGAAAATGACTCAGATTCCATAATGGGAAGTGGTAGAGGCAGGGCTCACAGAGTCTGGAGCAGAGGGTCTTAGCCACTGTGCTATAACCCCCTCTGATTGGCACTCAGTCTCACAAGTTACCCTCTCTGTTGTCCCTCCTAATAGCCCCACTATGCGGGTTGACAGTCCTGGCCTGGATAGAGGGCGCTCTGAGCTGTGAAGTCGCGTAGCCAAGCGGAAGCAGAGTTCAGTTTCCAGGCAGGACACACGTTGGTGGCCTTTCCAGGTAAGACACACCTTGGTGTCATTTTCGGGTAGGACACACCTGGGCGGCGTTTCCAGACAGGACACAACTTGCCACTGGAATGACTCTGGGGCGGGCCAGGGGCTCTGCTGGGCACGCGATGTCCCCTTGCGAGTCCCTGTTCCACTTCTAGACTCACTTCCCGCGGCCTCTCCGACCCCAGCCCTAACCTCCACCCCCTGAGGCAATATAACCGGCGGTCCCCATCCCCCCGAGCTGCCCCCGTCACTTGAGGGCGGTGCGGAAACCGAGCAGGTCCCAAGTTCCTGACCCCAAGAGGCGACGGACGAAGCCTCCCGCCCCACCTGTGACGACCGCCGTTCCCGCGCAGTCTGAGCGAGCCGAGGTCCTGGCGCGCGGCGGCGGAGCCTCTGCTCCCAGGCCGGCGGCGGTGTCGCGCCTCCTCGGGCCCCGCGGCTGCAGACGCGCTCCTTCCACGGTGTCTTGTGAAGTCGGAGCGGAAAGAGTCTGCGGGCAACCTCAGCGCAGACGCGGCGGCTCTCGGTTTTATTTCCTGGATCTTACGTATACAATGGGATACCGCGGGAGGCGGGACAGTCCCTCGGGCTACGCCGAGCCACCGCCGCGCCCCGCCCGCGCGCGCGCGCGGCCGACTGGCTCCGGGGCGCTAGTCCTGTGAACTGAGACTTGGACATCACCTGGCACTGAGAGCCTTGAACTAGGATGGGGCCTCTGCTGGGAGAACGTCCAGTGCTCTAACCTTGACCTCTGTCCCTGAGTCTTGCTGCTTCTGAGGCGCGCCGTGCCTCAGGTGGTTTACTCCCCTGAGCCCGCCCTTTCGTGCTGTCTTGCTTTTCCTTTCCTTTCATCATCAGATGATGTTTGTAGTATGTTTACCGACGTTTCATTTTCCAGCCCGCGGCCGGCACTGAGGCATGCAATAAACAAACACGGATTGAACCCAAAGATGCATCTGTTTTCATTTAAAACTCTTAATGACAGCAGTAAGGTCAGACTCCCCAGTCAAGCCGCTTATGCAGAAGTGAAACCTAACCGTCTGCCGCCCCCAACTTTCCTTACTCCCGTGGTCAGCAGACAACACAACCTTACCAAGAGCGATAGGGAAGAGGTGAAAAAGGGAGGTGAGAAAAGAGCCAAGTGGAATGAGGAACTGAGAAAAGATGGGAGGAGGAGGGAAGAAAACCCAGCCCCTGAGTTTGAACACTTTCTCTTCTTACCCTCTTTGTGACCTTGTGAAAGTCACCTGACAATGTCTGTGCCTCTGTTTGTTTTCCCCTCTGAAATGGTGGTAGTAACAACACCTACCGCATGGATTTTTAACAGGCTCAAAGGAATTCAATTGTGCAAAGTGTTTAGAAAGATGCCTGGTACCCTGTGGATTTTTTTTTTAAGATGTATTTTATTTATTTGAAAGAGTTACAGAGAAAGGTAGAGACAGAGAGAGGTCTTCCATCCTCCAGTTCAGTCCTCAGATGGCCGCAACAGCCAGAGCTGAGCCGATCTGAAGCCAGGAGCCAGAAGCTTTCTCTGGGTCTCCCACGTGGGTGCAGGGGCCCAAGGACTTGGACCATCTTCCACTGCTTTCCCAGGCCACAGCAGAGAGCTGGATCGGAAGAGGAGCAGCCAGGACTAGAACCGGCGCCCATATGAGATGCCAGCACTTCAGGCCAGGGCCACGCCAGGACCTCGGCTCACTCAGACTGCGCGGGAACGGCAGTCGTCACAGGTGGGGCGGGAGGCTTCGTCCGTCGCCTCTTGGGGTCAGGAACTTGGGATCTGCTCGGTTTCCGCACTGCACTCAAGTGACTGGGGCAGCTCGGGGGGATGGGGACCGCCGGTTGTATTGCCTCAGGGGGTGGAGGTTAGGGCTGGGGTCGGAGAGGCCGCGGGAAGTGAGCCCAGAAGTGGAACAGGAACTCGCAAGGGGACATCCGTGCTCAGCAGAGCCCCTGGCCCGCCCGAGAGTCATTCCAGTGGCAAGATGTGTCCTGTCTGGAAACGCCCCTCAGGTGTGTCCTACCCGAAAATGACACCAAGGTGTGTCTTACCAGCTGCACCACAGTACCGGCCCCACCCTGTGGATTTTTGCTTCCTGATCGCTTCCCTGTTGCTGAAAAGTCAGCAGAGTTATATAAATCCCATACCTTTCATTGGCAATGTTATTTCCCAAACTCTCCTTTCATGATGAACCTTGTTTTCTAAATCTCAATTTTTTGCCGTTGGGCTTTACAATGTAAAAATCTCCCATATCTTGCCTAGGTGGTGCCACCTTGTCTCTGTGGGGTCAGTGAGTGAGGGTGAGTGAATAGGCTTCTCCAGGAAGACCTTCATGCATTCCTCATTTGCATTTCTGACTTTCAATTTTATCCACTCCTTTGTTGCTATCACCAAGTCCCAGTTTCATTGGGATTCTGTGGAGTTAAAGAGCATCTCCTAAATCGTACATTACGCTTTATGCGCTTTAGACTGTGTTTTGCAAAATCCGTTGCCACATCTGCCTCTTTCCTCTTTCCATTTCCTCAACCTTGTTGAACTCTTACTCTCTCTGTTACAACCTCATCTTTCGTGGACTTTGTAGCTGTTACAGGTCTTGTTTTTGTTTTCACTGTCTTCACTTTCATTTTACTGTGGCCTGTACAGCTAGAAAACATTTAGGTAAGAGTTTGATTGCCTACCCCCACAACCCAGTACATGCTTGAATTTGGTTAAATAGTGATTCTCAAATTGTGCCGGCCTGCGGCACAATGAACTGGGTTTCCCTGAAACAGAGAGTGGGAATGCGGGGACAAGGACGCAAAGAATGGAGCCAAGATAAGTCCTGATCAAGGCTCCTTTATTGAATAAATCCAGTAGTATTTAAACATGACCAGTTGTTTACAAGAAGGAGCACAAAAGATTTACATATCAAAAAGGCTCTTAAGGTTACAATAAAACACTTAGGTGATACATGCAGGTTTCAGGTGTGACTGATTATCTATATTATCTCTTGTGAGAGGTTTAGGTTCTTCCTGCTCTTCCCGGAATCTCCCTAGCCTAATTGTCTGTGCCAGGAAGTCTCCATTCATATGTTTAAGTGTACACAAAGGGAGTGACTACCTGTGGCTGCCCACATCAAATTTTAGCTGTTTGTGTTTTTTCTCATAAGTTCACAGTAAACATTGCTATAACAGATAAAAACATTTAAAAGTTGTCGCTCCCCCTCTTCATGGAGGAACGACACAGGACCCTGCGCTGTTCTTTCGTCTGCTCGGCCCTCCCCGGGTTTGCTGCTGGTTCTTCCCGGGTTGGCTACTGTCCCTTCCACCTCCGTGGAAGGGCGGTTCCCCCTGCCACTTTCCCCACTTCCGCGGGGGAGCGGCACACCGCTGGCCGGCTCTCTCGGGGGCTGCACAGGTGTTCCCCTTAGATGTTCCTCTTAGATGTTCCTGGTGCATGCCGTCTCTCTCCTCCTTTATAGTCCTCCTCCGCCAATCCCAACTCGGCTGCCCACACGCCGAGTACGCTGCTCTCCTCCAATCAGGAGCAAGTCCTACAGTTTATTGGCTGAACTGGAGGCAGCTGTGTAGAAGCTGTTTTCTCCTCTCCCAGCACCATATTGTGGGAGAGCAGATGCATAGAATAAGTCTTAATTCCAGTAACTTAGTCTAGTCTGAGTTGCTCCCCACGAAAGTCAGTGATATGGTCAAAAAACTCTAGAAAAGTAAAATCATACAACTGGAGCTCCAGGCATCACACTTTAATTCACATTTATTAGAAAATCCCAATCAATACACAGATTATATATTTTCTGGTAATGGATTAAAATATTTTCATTAATCCATTACCACTACCATACACCTATTATTGGCTCCAGGCCTCCACAGTTTTCAAAAAACATGAAGTCCTAGATAAAAAAAAAATACAGAAATGAGTTTTCAAACAAAAACAGGGATTAATTCTCAGACATGGAAATGCTAAGGAATCTGATGACACAGTAATTTATCTGTTACACAAGGAAAATTAACTCTAGTAAGTAAGTCTTGAAAAAATCCATAGTTACATGAATTCTACCTACAGTGTTCCATTTTAATAGCAGTTAAATTCTGTAACTCCATTCATTTATTGACACCAGAATGAATTTAATTAATCCTCTGATAATCTTTCTCTTTCATTCCTCCTCATTGTAGTTCTTTTCTAGTAAGAAAATGTTTCCAGTATCTCAAGTTCCATGTCCTTTAATGTTTGTCAGGAGATGACAGCCGTCTGAGTTACGATGCATTACAGTTAGTATTTTATGGCTGCTGTTCATCTTTTCTCTTTCACTATGTCTACTCTGATCCCAGTTGGCTTCACTCCATCAAGTGTCTAACTGGACTCTCTCCCTATGACTACAGTAAAAACCTATAGTTTTTATTTCTTTCACATCTGTTATTTTCCTTTATTTCTCCAAACACTTGCAATTCACTATTGCAATTCAATATTGCAATTTTATCTTTCTTCAGTTCATTTCCCACCTATTCACCTGTATTGATCTTTCTCTTTGCTTTTTTTTTTTTTTTTTTGACAGGCAGAGTGGACAGTGAGAGACAGAAACAGAGAAAGGTCTTCCTTTTCCATTGGTTCACCCCCCAATGGCCGCTGCAGTTGGTGTGCTGCAGCTGGCGCACTGCGCTGATCTGAAGCCAGGAGCCAGTGCTTCTCCTGGTCTCCCATGGGGTGCAGAGCCCAAAGACTTGGGCCATCCTCCACTGCACGCCCAGGCCACAGCAGAGAGCTGGACTGGAAGAGGGGCAACCACGACAGAATCCGGTGCCCTGACCGGGACTAGAACCCAGGGTGCCGGCACCTCAGGCAGAGGATTAGCCTATTGAGCCGTGGTGCCAGCCTAATCTTTCTTAAAATTATAATTACTGAAGCTGGAGTTGTGGCGCAGTGTGTTAATGTGCCACTTGCAACATGGCATCCAATACTGGAGTGCTGGTTTGAGTCCTAGTTTCTCTTCTTCGAATTCAACTTCCTACGACTGCATCTGGGAAGGCAGTGGAATATGGCTCAAGTACCTGGGACCCTACCACCCATGTGGGAGACCAGGATGGAGTTCCTGGCTCTTGGCATCCTCCTGGCCTTCTGGCCCAGAATTGGCTGTTGCAATCATTTGGGAAATGCACCAGTTGGTGGAAGATTTTCTCTCTCTCTCTTCTCACTTTCTCTCTCACTCACTCTGTCTCCATTCCACTCTATTTCTCTGATCTTCTAATAAATAAATATATTAAAAAATTATAATTAATTTACACTATCTAGTTTAAAAAGCAACAATTAGCAATTTTCAGTGAAGTAACCTGTGATTATAAGAAGTCAACAGTCATTTTCTAATAATTTCATCATTCTATCCCCATTTCCTATATATCTAAATAATTCAGACAGCTTTGTTTCCCTAAAGACATCATTTTATTCAGATTCCTTGCCTTTGCTTAAATAGTTCCCTCACAGTTAAGGTTAAATTTATTTTGAGGGGGGTTAAATAATGCTTATTAAAAAATCTTTTATAACTGGTTACACAAGGGTACTTCAAAAACTTTGTGAAAAATTAAGGCATTAACTATGGTGCAAAAAATTTTGAAATCCATATATACCAGGAATCTTCAAAAAATTCATGGAAATGTGGATTATGAAAAACATATGGATATATTTTAAATATTTATGCAACAAAATAAACATTTTTTAATTTCTAATGAACTTTGAAGTATCCTTGTATTTAAACTTTATTACAGGAAAAAAAAAAGCATATTATAAATTAGAACAGCAATAGGTCCCATAAATTGTTCATCCAGATTCAATCATTGTTTATGTGATCAATCACAGTTAATCCAATACTTCATTCCCTAGATCGTTTTGACTCTGCCCTGTTTTAAAAGCAAATTCGTGGTATGGTATCATTCAATAAGGGATTACTTCAGTCTGGGCTTCTAAAATTATAGACTTCTATGGGGTTCTAAAAATATAGACTTTTGTTTTTATATAATGATGATATCACATATAGAACTAATAAGTCCTTCATACTGTTCAAATTTCCCTTAAAGTCTCCCAAATGTTTTTTTCACATTGGTTTGGTCAAATCGGTACTCAAACATGAGACGCAAATTATGTTAGTTGATATCTTTTAAGTCTCTCTATTCCTCTTTATTTTACCTTTATTTTTTCCTTACCACTTATTTGTTGAAGGAACTGGAATCTTTTTGCTGTAGGTTTTCATTTCATAAAAATGTGTGTTTATTAATTTTTGAGGGTGATCCTGTGAGACTAGGCAGTCTAGCCCATGCAGGAGGTTGAGAGGGCATAGCGCACCATGCCTCCCTGGATGGACCCACAACCTGACTGCTGGCAGCCGGCTGGAGCCCCATTCACATTTCCTGCACCCTGGCCAATCAGGTGACCTGCTCCAGGGTGTGGCCCAGGCCTATCAGGAAGCCTACATTAGCCTATGTGACCTTCAAGTTGATTGGAGAAGCATAGCGATGCCAATATCAGCTTCTATCCTATAGAATTAGTGTTGTTCTGAATTAGCTACACCCCTTCTGCCTGCACTTTAAAAGGTGTGCTTGATCATTAAAATGGAAAGACTCACAAAACTGAGCAATCACTTGCTGTCTTCCAAGATGCATATTAGCAGGAAACTAGATTGGAAGCAGAGTACCTGGGACTTAAACTAGGTACTCTGAAGAGAATGTAGGCATCCCAAGCAATCACCTAAGTCACTGTTCCATATGACTGCCCTTGCTATTGTTTCTTATCTTTTAATTTTTTCTAATTACATCCTGAAATCCATATTTAAAAGTTGCTTCTCATGTTTCACACCTGTGACGCACATTGAAATCACCTAAATGCTCTAAATAGACTGAAGATTTGGTCCCACCTGCAGAAATTTTGATTTAGTAGATTCGGGGGCAATCTGAACATGGGGAAGTTGAAAAGTTAGCCAGGTGTTTCTGTTGTTGAGCTAAAAATGACTGCTGTGTATTAGCTTAACTTTGACTACATACTGGAATCACCAGGAAACCTATACACACTTCTGGTTCTGAATTTCTGACTTGTTGAACTAGGTTATGGTCTGGTGTTGGGGTTTTGAAATCTTCAGAACCACAACTCTAAACCATGTATTTCCTATAAATTAATAGATCTAGAGGCCTATTTAGATGCATACTGTTATTGCAATTCATACTCCAGTATTTGATGATTTAGTTTAATAATAAGCCAAACTGAGCTCTCTCTGTTTCACTGAGATTTTCCAAACAAGCCCTGATTCAACAATATCCCAAAAGCACAAAAAAAAATTTAAAAAAAATTCCTACAAAAATGACCTCTGCTTAATATATAAAGTCCTTCATTTGCCATGTGAAAATGCACAGACTCATCCAACTAAAACTGATGACCCATAAATTCATTGTCAGAATCACATGGAATTTCAGAGCTAGTATCAAACAGGCAATTGTTTGAAACCTAAAAGAAGATCATTTTAAAATATACAATTTACTGAATAATTTCAGAAAGATTCTGGAGAGACTACCTGTAACCAAGATTAGTAACAATGGACTTACAATGAGGAAACAAGCGCCAAGCACCACAGCTTTCATTTTCACATCAAGGTCTACAGGGAACTGGATCCCAAAGTTATCAGCATCTGAAAATGCCTCTCTGTAAAGCCCAGTCCACTGCTTAGCAATCTTGCCAACCACATTTTGTTCATCAAGAGATTTAATCTAAATTCCAAAACAAAGAGAAAAATCTAAAACTTAATGGAAAGCTTATGGCAAAATTATTTTTAAAATTTGTGTAAAATTAAATAATATTGTATTAAAATTATGTATCATGTGTTATTATAAGCACATTACCTTCATTCATACCCATAGGCGCCTGTATCTATTTATCAAAGTATGAAAATGCTATCATACTATACAGAGAACTTATAACATTTATTTTACATTAAAATAGATAATAATAAATTGGTTGAGTGATCAAGACAAAATTTAAGCAGAGGAGGATGGAGATATGAAAACAATTTTTGATGACATGACCGGAAGTTGGAATAGAATGTAGCAAACATAATTCCCATGTGATTTCTGCTCTAAAACCAACACAGGGTTTAGAAAGGCTGAAAGTTTCAATATAATGGGAAGTCTCATTACCACCACTGTCAGTTGGTTCATGTGAAATATGAACAGCATAGAAAAGAAGATTGGCAGGCCTGAGTGAAGAAAAGTATCAAATAATTCAGTTTGGGATGCTCCTGGATAACGTTCAGCTAAGAATGGACAACTTGTAGGGCATAGGCAGTAAAGGAAGCTGGATAGGGCTATGAAAAATAAAGAAAATTCCAAAGTAAAGATCTTACTATTTGACAATTCTGCCTAAGGAAAACCAGGGCCATCATAACAAACTGAAAGGATTATGGGCAGACTACTGTCTAGAGTACTGTCCTTCAACATGGCTATGTGGTTCGTCCTGGTTCTTGCTTTCCAGTGATAAGCCATTAGAAAATATGATCCAATTAGGGCCTCCTGCTGCAACCCCATAACAAATGTACCTGGAGCAACTTGAGGCCAATGTGCCAGCTGTCATCTAAGTATTTGCACTACTGATAAAAACCTTACATTTTATTTTTTAATTTTGAAATAGTTTTTAGTGAAAATTGTTGATGGCAACTTAGCATCTAGCATAAATCCAACCCCATATTGATAAAGATATTACTATTTTTTCTTTTGAATTCTACAAGAAATGAAAAATTCACCAAGATAAATATGAAAAAAGAAAATACATAATTTCTGTGGCAAAATTTTGAAATGTGAACAATAAACTTCAGTCATCAGGACTAGACAATTTTTAGCTAAATTACAGATTCAATTTTTTTTAATTTTTTAATTTTTTTTTTTTTTTTGGACAGGCAGAGTTGGTGAGAGAGAGAGACAGAGAGAAAGGTCTTCCTTTTCCATTGGTTCACCCCATAAATGACCGCTGCAGCTGGTGCTGTGCTGATTTGAAGCCAGGAGCCAGGTGCTTCCTCCTGGTCTCCCAGGTGGGTGCAGGGCCCAAGCACATGGGCCATCCTCCACTGCCTTCCCGGGCCACAGCAGAGAGCTGGACTGGAAGAGGAGCAACCAGGACAGAATCCGGCGCCCCAACTGGGACTAGAACCCTGGGTGCCGGGGCCACAGGAGGAGGATTGTCCAAGTGAGCTGCTTTCTATATAAAATGGATAATATATATAGCATCATCATATAAAATCTAAAGGTTGGATATTTTGCTTTTTTATTTTTCTAATCCTGATAGTAGAGCTCTTGGCCAGTCACCAGGGAAAGTCTTACTCAAATTTTCTCTATTTATTTATTTATTTTTATTTGAGAGAGTGAACAAGTGAGTGAGGGTGAGTGCTCCCATCTGTTGGTTCACTCAAAAAATGTCTTTAATGACAGTGATGGGGAGGACAGACAATGCGCCATCTGTAAACCAGTATCTCCGTGTCAACCTCTTCAGTATGTCCAGGGACCCAGCTATTTCCAGCCATCACCAGCTGCCTCTCAGGCATTGGCAGGCAGTTAGAAATGGAGTGAAGCCAGAACTTGAACCCAGGCACTGTAGTGTGAGGGTCAACTATTTCAACAGGTGTTTCAGTCGTTGAATTGCTAGGCAAAACACCTGCCCCCATTTGGCTTATTTTTGTTTGACTTATCAGCTGTGTTGCTCTTTATTCCATTCCTCATAATAAACACTGCTCTTTGACCACAGTAACAACCAGCATTTGGAACAAAAGTAAATATGAGTATATTATCTTCTTCCTGAAATACTAGTTTACAGTACTTATCAATGTCTTACTCTTATATGAGTACTTATTCTCATCTTGAAATATTTGTATATGTTTTTAATAACATAATATCACACTGTATTCCTGTACTAAAAACATATATTTTATATTAAGCAACTTCTGAGAACATCATGACATCTCTTACCTCAAAGTCAACATCTCCAAAACAGTTACACACAAAAAATGGACCACAAATTTTTAGCACATCCTCTTCCTTCTCATTTTGAATTTTAAATTTAGGCAGAAATGGATGCCAGGTCTGAGTTATATATCCAATTGGGACACCAGGAGGAGCTTGAACTTCTATCTATAAAGGAAGAATAATGTATGTAAATGTAATATGATAATATGCTTAGGTGAATGAGGAGGTGAAAAGCACTGAGCGACTTTACAACCTGCCCTGGTGACTGTGCACTGACCTTCTGAAGGCAGCAGGGGAAACAGCAACTGGTGCATCTCAGTGGTCGCTCCAGGGTGATCACTTCTCGGCCCGTGTTATCAAGAATCCTCAATGTGAAAGGTCTAAGTGCCTCCCAGCAATTTCGGGTACAGCAATCAGTATCTTCCACTGCCAGGAAAATCTTCTGTCCAAAGCTGTTTTTAATTTCATATTTGTTTTTGCTTTGAAAATCTAGTAAGACTTTAAGACACAAAGAAGAAATCATGACCCATTGAATCTACCTGAAGATATAACACACAGCTACACCAGGAAGAAAAGAAAAAAGGTAAAAGAAAGGTATTTAGAGATGACCCAAATGATACAAAATGGAAAGTAAAAGCAGATGATACTATGAGAGTTCTTGTGGGAAACACAGAGAGGAAAATATGCCAGATCTTTCTCATTTCACAGACTCCCGTCAGAAAGGGAAACTCCACTGTGGGGATTGGGGGAATACTGCAGGTGCCCATAGTAGTGCTAGGAATGTGGACAAAATGTCCACTCACATGCTACAGTTTTGTGTGTTATGGAGGAGATAAGAAGATGAATTCTATGCTTAGGCGCTATAAAACGTTGTAATACATCAGTTGGCTTGATAAACTATTCTATAAACCAAAATTAGTCTTAAATCTTTGCATTGTTTGAACAAATGCAATGAGAGGGTTCACTTCCAAAGGACATGTGTAGAAAAAGAGTAGAAATGGAAGGTGAACCAGAACATCATATTGGGCACCAGGTACCACGGTTTAAACTGGCAGCAGCTGCTTAGCAGGGAGGGAAGGGTACTGGGCAAGGGGGAAATGTTCCTGGCAACCAGGGCTTGATCTAGACCAGGGGCCTCCTGAGTGAACTCTGCACCTTATCAGAGGCACTACGTGCTGAGACCCACGTGGTACAATACAAACGGCTTCCTGTATTGACTCACACATTGGACATCTCTCCTTGTTTACAGTCAGGAAGGAGCAATCAAAGGCCCCATTTGTCCACAGTGCTTGGTAGCTTAAGCCACTGGATATCAGACCCTGAACAAAATAAGAATTGACTCAAAGAAACATGTGGAGGTAAAAATGACAGGAGTTTGTTCAGATAGGATGCCTTCTACAAGCTTTGTCAGTACAAATTCCCTTAAGTGTGTTTGGTGGGACTCTGCATTTATAAGACCGACCCATGACTTAAACATCTGCCACAGTTACATGGTTGGTGAGGAAAAAACTAGACTGATTTTGAGAGGATGTTTATTATCCAACAAAGTTGTTTGTTGATTTGTTAAACAACATGGGTTTACATAATCTGTTTCCTTCTGGTTACTTGAAAATGAAACCAAACAAAGCAAAAGAATTCTGTTTATGTCTGTTTGATCTCTTAAGCTTTGAAATGAGAGAAACTATTAATGCTTTATATGCTCAAATGTTAAGAGACATTTTCTTGGTAATGTGAAAAAAACAATGCGAACTTTCAATTTGTGTACAAAGAGAGCAAAAACTAAAGACATCCCTTTTTAAAACAACCACAGAATTAAAGACTAGAGAATTAGGAATTAATTTTATATTTCATGATTAAGACATATTTAAAATTTATAAAGTTTGTAAATCTATAAAAATAAATAGTGTGCTGTATAATGTATAATATGTGGTTTGGATTTTATAACCTTAATAAGTATTCTTCAGCATATTTTGAAAAGTCAGAATACAAATCATCAAATAATGAAGAGCTCTTTTCTGGGTAAAACCATTACAAATATCTTAGTGTACATTATAAATAATGTAAATATAAGAAATGACAATTGCATATTTTAATTAAATCCATTACTCTGTTTGGAAAGGTTAGCTTTAATTTCTATCAGAGAAAAGAACTCTGCAGACAGGTGAAGATGGACTTAACAGACATATGGTGCAGACCAGCAGAGTCATTTAACCCTTTTTATCTAGAAGGAGGACACTATTGTTCAGGAATCCACTCAAAGGCTTACTCCATTGGCAGCTCTCCTGGAACCTTGATTGGCTTCTTGAGGTTATATCTGCACCAGGGGGTCATGGTACCAACAAACACAGGATGGTGTCACACCCACTCAGCAGGAGCCAGTTTGTTCTTCTTGGGGGCCCAGCCTCAAACCTGCTGGTCAGTATCCTCCAACTCTGCAGTGCCCCTGCATATAAGCTGACAATCCACAGCCCAGGGGACAAAAGTCTAACAGGGCTCATCTGAACTCCCAAGAGAAAATGTGGGCACAAGCAATAATTTTCCAAAAATTCCCAGCCAGATTCAAATTGATTACTTATTTCAGAAATGTACTTAGGTAGCCAAACTATTCATGTGGCTCTGACCCATTCTCAGATTGATCACAAACTGGGGAGAAAACAGATGAAGCTTTAATTGTAGGGGAAGAAGTGAAAATAAGTTTAGATAGTGTTCCTTCTAAGTTAATGTCCGCATTGTAAGGAAAGATGCCCAGCAAAATCCTAATCACCACCTGAGAATTTTACTGTAAATTGCTGATACTGTTCATAATTTCATTATTCTGAAGGCAGAGTTTGTAAATAACTTGGTGAACTGGCCCCTGGGTAACAGTGATATATTTATGATGGTTAACATGTGTTTGCCTGCATAAACTTAGTTTCTTTCTAGAAATATGAAAACTATGCATACATACCTTTTAGTAGCTTAACTTCTTGATGAATCAGTACCTGATCTATCTTCCAGGAAAGACAAAATTAAGCATTAAGTATATGTCAAAACAATATTTCTTAAATCAAGCAAATTAAAATCTTTGTGTTTATATTTTAAAAACTACATATAATCAATTACCAATTTTATTACCTTCTAGTGTTAAACTAATAGCAATATTTTTAATTAAAAAACTTCTGGAAGTGTTCACTACTGATCAGGGAAAATTTAGGTAAAATTAAACTGACTTGTGACTCCTTATGAACCTTGAAAAACTATGTTCCTTCTAAAAGAGGATCAAGAAATGCTGATCATTTTTTGTTAATTTAAAGAGTTTTTTCTGCAAATGTCAAGTATTTTTAAAGCGTATCTGACATCACTTGTAGTTGGTGATAACTTCTGTGTGTTTTCTGACATCCTGATTTTTAAATATCAGAGTGTTTCTGTGTAAAATTGAACTGGTACAGACAATAGAAGACAGACTCCTGGTTTATCAAAACTGGTTGGCTATCATAAAAATATTTCTTTATAGATCGGTATACAGATTATTATTTTTTTTTTTTTGACAGGCAGAGTGGACAGTGAGAGAGAGAGAGACAGAGAGAAAGGTCTTCCTTTGCCGTTGGTTCACCCTCCAATGGCCATCACGCTGCGGCCAGCGCATCGCACTGATCCGAAGCCAGGAGCCAGGTGCTTCTGGTCTCCCATGCGGGTGCAGGGCCCAAGCACTTGGGCCATCCTCCACTGCACTCCCTGGCCACAGCAGAGAGTTGGCCCAGAAGAAGGGCAACTGGGACAGAATCTGGCACCCCGACCAGGACTAGAACCCGGTGTGCTGGCGCTGGAAGGCGGAGGATTAGCCTATTGAGCCGCGACACCAGCCGGTATACAGAATTTCATGTTGCTGTTTCACCTACCTCTTTCTACTACCAAAAATATTACACTCATCTTGCTAACATTAACTATCATGTAGAACAGAAAAACCCAGGACTTTTCCTGCCCTTATTGATGATACTGATAAAATTGGAGCCTGCCAAGGATGAAATCAATATAATCACGATGCAGTTTTATTAACTACAATAAAAACATTAGTCAAGTAACACAAAATATTTAAACTTCTCATTTGCTATCAATAATTGAAACTCAACAGTGGGGCCGGCATTGTGGTGCAATGGGTTAAAACCCTGGCCTGAAGCTCCAGCATCCCATATGGGTGCTGGTTCTAGTCCCAGCTGCTACTCTTCTGATCCAGCTCTCTGCTATGGCCTGGGAAAGTAGGAGAAGACGGCCCAAGTTCTTGGGCCCCTGCACACGCGTGGGAGACCCAGAAGAAGCTCCTGGCTCCTGGCTTTGGATCGGTGCAGCTCCAGCCATTGCGGCCATCTGGGGAGTGAGCCAACAAATGGAAGACCTCTCTCTCTCTGTTTCTACCTCTCTCTGTAACTCTGTCTTTCAAATAAATAAAATAAATCTTAAAAAAAAAAAAAAAGGAAACTCAACAGTAAACTTCATGCAAACTCTTTTTCCAAGTTGCAAATTAATTATTTAGTAGTGAGATTAAAGAACACATGGAGAACACAATGTGCTCAATCAGAGGTTCAAATGGTGCCATGTTCCTAACCACAAAGATGTTCTATAGATTACATGAGTCACTGTATGTATTTTGCATAGGATAAAGACTAGAAAATTTTGTTTAATAAATATTGGCTGTTGGCTATTATCATAAATGGTATTCAAGATCACAGAACATAATTTTCTAAGACATTTTTATTTTGATGAAAAAATGAAATGAACAATTCATTATTAACAAAATATTTCAGTATTTCAAATTTGATAAATTATTAATTTGTTACTCTTGTTAAGTAAACTGGAAGCACAGTCTTGCTGTTTATGATTATTTCATGTATTAGAAATTACCTGAGGCCGGCGCCGCGGCTCACTAGGCTAATCCTCTGCCTTGCGGCGCTGGCACACCGGGTTCTAGTCCCGGTCGGGGTGCCGGATTCTGTCCTGGTTGCCCCTCTTCCAGGCCAGCTCTCTGCTGTGGCCAGGGAGTGCAGTGGAGGATGGCCCAAGTCCTTGGGCCCTGCACCCCATGGGAGACCAGGAGAAGCACCTGGCTCCTGGCTTCCGATCAGCTCAGTGCGCCAGCCGCAGCGCGCAGGCCGCAGCGGCCATTGGAGGGTGAATCAACGGCAAAGGAAGACCTTTCTCTGTCTCTCTCTCTCTCACTGTCCACTCTGCCTGTCAAAAATAAAAAATAAAAAAAAAAAATTACCTGAGTCAAATACTCCAATCCAGGTGGGCAGTTCAACGGACGTGGTGGAGCTGGCATCCATGGTACCCCTGCAGATCCACCAGGCTGCGTATGTTCTGGCTGATCTGAGACAGGAATGCTGCTTTGGTCAGCAACTGGATAGTCAGCTGGTGGAACTGGGTAGCCTGCATGGGACCCTGGATAGCCAACTTGGGGCTCTAGAGAGCCAGCCTGGGGGTCAAGGTAGCCAGTATTTCTTGGAGCTCCTGAATTAGAAACAAGTGAAGTAATTTATAACTACACAGAAAAATAGAGTCAGCAACCCTTTTGGACTCCCTTAGTTATGTGCAAACTGACTTCTCAGGTCAGAAAACCTGTGTGAAGCTTAAGATATGTTTTTATCTTTGAGACCATTCTAATGAAATGTCTGTTTCCAATACGCGTCTGTTTTGTGGATGTTGGGCTGGGAATTGATGCTGCCTTTTCCTTACAATTCAAAATTCAGATGGCAAATATACCCAAGTGAATGAAAGAAAATGAATGATGATACAGAGTCACATAAAAACTCTGTCTGTATCTTCAAGAGAAAAATGACACAAGGTAGAAGATGACCAGGAACTCTGTAAAGCAATGGTAATTTGGGGGCCAGTGATGTAGTGCAGTAGCTTAAGCTGCCACTTGCAATGCTAGTATCCCATATTGGCAGGCCAGTTGGTTTTCCTGCTGCTCCCCTTTCAATCCAGCTTCCTGCTAATTGGCCTGTGAAGGCAACAAATGATGGCCCAAGTGCTTAGTGCCTTGCCACGCACATGTGGGATCATGATGAAGTTCCTGGATCCTGGCTTCAGCTTGTCCCAGATATGGCTGTTGTAGTCATCTGGGGGTGTGAACCCATGGATGGAAGATCTCTATTTCTCCCTCTCTCTGTCACTCTTCCTTTCAAATAAATAAATAAATAAAACTTTTTTAAAAGAAAGAAAGGAATAAGGAAAATTGAAAAACAGAATGAGGGGCTGGTATGGTAGCGAAGCAGGCAGGATAAGCCTCCACCTGTGACACTAGCATTCCTTATGGGTGTCAGTTCAACTCCCAGCTGTTCCACTGCTGATTTAACTCCCAGCTAATGGCCTACGGAAAGCAGCAGAAGATGGCCCAAGTGTTTGGGCCTCTGCTACCCATGTGGAAGACATGGAAGAAGCTCTGGGCTCCTGGCTTCAATCTGGCCCAGTCCCAGTTGCTACAGCTATTTGGGGAGTGAACCAGCAAATGGAATATCTCTCTTTATCTGTCTCTCCTTCTCTCTCTGTAACCCTGCCTTTCAAATAAATAAAAAAAAAAAGTCTTTTTCTTAATAGAATTAAGAAAAACAGAATGAATCACATAAAAATACAATTCTGGAACTATAACAAAGAATATATATATATATATATATATATATATATATATATATAGGTAGTTTTACCCCACTTCCCCAATGGATAGTTGGCAAGATCTGGAGACATTCTCTGTCTCAAAATTGGAGGGGAGTTTGATACTAGCATCTGGTAGGTAGAGGCCAAGGATGCCATAAATCATCTTACAATGCCCAGAACACCCCTTGAAAAGAAAAAAATTATCCAGACTAAAACACTGTGTAATCTTGAGGAAAACTGGTGTAGAGATAAAGGCATGTCATTCATTCTAGTACCTTCCAAGTACTTGCATGGGTTAAAAGTTTTACTGTGAGTTTTAATCTGCAGTGTATTCCCTTCCTAAGTCTCTTTCCATTAAAAATCATCCATTGTGATATTTAGGCTAGAAGTGTAGATTTTATAATTAGTATCCTCTGCTCTCTGAAAATGTAGTTTGTGAAACAAAGGAGGTAAAAAGTTGTGAGGGGCACAGTAAAGGAAGAATTTTAATGTCTATATGCTTTATATCCTCTGTGTGTGTGTGATTACAATGAGCTTTTTAAGTGGAATTATTTAGTCTACAGAGAAGTAATTCCACAGGAATGGAATCAAATTTCAAAGAATCATCTCCCTTAGTATTTAACATAAAAGACCATGCAAAATTTAATACTTAAGAATAGCCAATTTATAGATATTTTTAAATGGTACATTTGTGACAAATTCATACATAATTAAAATTAAGGCTTAGCAAAACATATTCAACCTTATGATTTTTCTTAAATGTGGCTTTTGTAATTTATTCCTTCTACAAAGAATGCATAGTTATAGATTATCTAAAATAAATTTAAAAGAAGATGATTTCCCATTGATATGATGGAAAAAACACATGGGGGAGAATACAGCATAAAAATGAAATTAAAATAAGATCTAGTAATTTACACGGAGACTTAAAAGATGACAGGAAGAAAACTTTATATGATGATCTGATGAGAAATGACCTAAGAGGAAGAAAAGCAAATAAGGCCGGCGCCGCAGCTCAATAGGCTGGTCCTCTGCCTTGCGGCGCCGGCACACCAGGTTCTAGTCCCGGTCAGGGCGCCGGATTCTTTCCTGGTTGCCCCTCTTCCAGTCCAGCTCTCTGCTGTGGCCCAGGAGTGCAGAGGAGGATGGCCCAAGTCCTTGGGCCCTGCACCCACATGGGAGACCAGAAGCACCTGGCTCCTGGCTTCAGATCAGCACAGTGCGCTGTCCACAGCTGCCATTGGAGGGTGAACCAATGGTAAAGGAAGACCTTTCTCTCTGTCTCTCTCTCTCTCTCACTGTCCACTCTGCCTGTCAAAAAAATAAAAATAATAAACCCATTCCTGTTTTTTTGTCTCTTTCACAGTTTGCCAAATTAACTCCAAAGTCTGAGTTTTTTTATTTGCTTTTTTTAATTTTTATTTTATTATTTTTTTAATCTTATTATCAAACCCAACATGCAGGTCTTAGGACTTCTTGAAGTTATGTAAAGAGAGAATGGAGTACAAGGCTTTTTTTAGTGAAATAATTACAGAAAACATTCCCAATTTGGAGAAAGAAGAAAGGGATGTCCAAGTAGAGGAAGCACATAGAATTCCTAAGAGACATGAACAGAAAAGTATTCACCATGACACTGTGTAGTCAAATTTTCACAGAAAAAGATTCTAAAATGTGAACAAGAGAAACATCAGATTATTTTCAGAGGATCTTCAATTAGACTGACGGCTGACTTCTCATCAGAAACCTTACAGGATAGAAGGGAAAGGCGAGATATAGTCCAAGACTTAAAAGAAAAAAACAAACTGTCAACCCAGAAAACTGTACCCTACAAAGCTCTCATTTATTAGTGAAGGTGAAATAAAGACCTTCCATAACAAAAGGAAATTGAATTTGTTGCCACTCATCCAGCCTTACAAAAGATGCCTAAGGATGTGCTACATACAGAAACACAGAAAGAAGGCCATCATTAAGAAAGAAATTGAAGGCAGAAAATCTCTCAGGAAAAGTACAAAAGAAATCCAAAGTAAACAATAGGAATATTTGTAGAAAAATGGCAGAGCCAAGTCATTACTTATCAGTAGTCACCTTGGATGTAAATGGCCTCAACTCTCCAGTTAAATGATACAGACTGACTAAATGGAGTAAAAAACAAGACCCATCTATTTACTGCCTAAATGAAATACATCTCATCAACAAAGATACACACAGACTGAAAGTAAAATGATGAAAAAAGATATTTCAAGCTAAGATAAAGCAAAAAAAATGGCAGGTGTTGCCATCCTAATATCAGACAAAATAGACTTTAACACAAAACCTGTTAAAGAGACAAAGAAGGGCACTATGTAATGATCAAGGAATCAATTCAATAGGAAGATGTGGTCTATAATAAATGTATATACACCCAATTACATGGCATCTAGCTATTTAAAAGAAATGTTAGTGGATCTAAAGGGAGAAATAAACTCCAATGCAATAGTAAATGGGGGACTTCAACACCCCATTTTCAGCAATGGACAGATCAACCAGACAGAAAACCAGCAAAGAAACAACAGAATTAATCAACTCTATGGACCAAATGGACCTAACTGATACCTATAGAATTTTTCACCCCACAGTTGCAGAATACACATTCTTTTCATCAGTGCATGAAACATTCTCTAGGATAGACCACATGCTAGGCCATAAAGCAAGTCTTAGCAAATTCATAAATATCAAAATCATACCATGCGTTTTCCCTGACCACAGTGGAATGAAACTGGAAATCAAAACTCAAGAATCTCTAGATCATATGCAAATATATGGAAACTGAACAAAACAACATGTTCCTGATGAACAGTGGGTCACAGAAGAAATCCAAAGAGAAATAAAATAATTTCTGGAAATTAATGAAGATGACAATGAATCACATAAAAATTTATGGGATACAGCAAAGGCAGTGTTAAGAGGGAAATTTATAGTAATTGATGCCTACATGAAGAAATTGGAAAAATATCTAAATGAGCTTTCAATAATCTCAAGAAAAACAACAAATTAAATTGAAAGTTAGTATGAGGAAAGAAATAATTAAAATTAGAAAAGAAATAAACAAAATTGAAACAAAAATACAAAAATCAGTGAAATAAAGAGCTGGTTTCTTGAAAAAATATGCAAAATGGTATACCATTGGCCCAACTAACTATAAAAAAAAAAAGAAGAAAACCCAAATCAATAAATTCAGAGATGAAAAAGGAAATATAACAGCAGATACTGTAAAAATAAAAAGAATCAATTCCTATACAATACAATCTACTGAAATTGAGTCATGAAGACATAGAAAACCTAAACAGACCAACAACCAAGATGGAAATTGAATCTCATAATAGAGACCCTCCCAACAAAAAAGCCCAAGACTGAACAGCTTCATTGCTGAATTCTACCAGATATTTAAAGAAGAACTAATTTCAGTTCTCAAACTATCCAAAATAATTGAAAGGAAAGGAATCCTCCAAAGCTTCTTCTATGAATCCTGCATCACATTAATGCCTAAGTTGGAAAAAGATAAGACAGAGAAAGAGGAGGCCGGTGCTGTGATGCAGTGGGTTAACGCCCTGGCCTGAAGCACCAGAATCCCACATGGACAGTGGTTCTAGTCCTGGCTGTTCCTTTTCAGATCCAGCTCTCTGCTATGGCATGGGATAGCAGTACAAGATGGCCCAAGTCCTGGGGCCCCTGCACCCACATGGGAGACCCAGAAGAAGCTCCTGGCTCCTGGCTTCAGATTGGTACAGTTCCGGCCATTGCTGCCAATTGGGGAGTGGACCATCGGATGGAAGATCTCTCTCTCTCTCTCTTTCTCTCTGCCTCTCCTATGTGTT